ACTGTGAAGAGTTGTACGACTATTTTTGTAGAAAATTTAAGAATTGTGAAATGTTACTTTTGGTAAAATAAATTTTATCAAGCTGTGTGCATTCAACCTGTTACGAAACTATACTCACTCAATAGTACTTGTTAGCTCCCAGGGTTCGAAGCCGCAATTGCTCGAACAAGATCAGTAAGGCATACGTTATCTTCGGTGTCTGCATTTTTGTTCTTCCGAAAATAGAGGTAGCTTAGTTTAGTTTAATTTTAATTGTATTGCAAAACATAGCTTTTAATTATCCTCTTAGTTAAGTTTTACTTCTTATCTGCGTTTCTGGAGTTTTAGATTCAGTACGAAGCTAAAAACTCTTCAAAAGCACAAGAAGGTAAACAAGAGTAGCTTGTCGTCTAATTAGTTTTAAGGCATCACAATTATATTTTAATCGCAAAACTAAACATTATTCATTTATATCTACTCCAGAAGCAAGGCTATTTTGCATAGAAATTCTTTTTTTTTTTTTTTTTTTTTTTAAATCTAAACATGTGAAGTATTTTTAATGTCCTTAACTACTCAGTCTCTTCAGCTTTCTTTACTTTTACGTCTACGTTTTGTTTATATTTTTAGGAAATGTTAGTCTCCTCATTCTAAGAAAAAAATACAGAGGACATGTATATTAAGAAGGAATGTTAAATAATGTTGCATGCGTAGGGGTTCGTAATAAATTGAATACACAAGTCCGATGAAAAGTGAATAAAAATTTATTATTATCAGAACAAATAAAACAAAATGCTTAAAATTTCTTCAGAGATAATAGTACAATATCTCACAGTAGTTATCTTTTAAACTACTGTAACGTTCAACAGAGCTTATTTCAAAACAGAGAAACGTAGAGAAAGAAAGCTAATCCAATCTCCTCGCGAATTCGCTACAGTAAACAACAGCAGTTTTCTAAACAAAACTGAGCTGTGGTGTTCTTTCTCTGGCTTTTATAGCTTTTTAAATCGGCCTCACTAGATTGTTCTAGCAATTTTTTGAAATCAAAAAGAGATATTTATTTATTAAATGTTAAATTCACGCGCTCTTGTACTTTTAATTTTCCGGCTTAGCTTTCTCTTAATATTCGTCACGCGCTGCGAATAAAACAATTTAATTTTTAATTCTACTAACATTAGCTATTTAAATACCAAATCTGTAACAATAAATAAATCAGCAAGGCAGGAAAGAGTAATTCGATTTATTAGATTTTTCTAGCTATCTACCACTGTTCTTCATTAGACGAGCGAACTGGGAGATTTTTAAATTTAACAGTTATTTATAGTTTTCCATAAATATGTAATTGTAAAAAACTAATTTGATATGAAATGGATTAATATTTTCGGGTTCAAGTTGATTTAATTAAGAGATAACTTTATTCAGAAGTTAGGTAATGTGAGAACCAAATGTGCTTTGCCGTTTAGTTAGTTATTCTAAATAATGTTATTATTAAAGATGATCCTTTCATAAAATAGCATGTATGTATATACACTAAATAATATTAGCAGTTTCGAGGAACTCATAGCGAATGAATAGACTGCAAACTTCGCACACGAACACGATTCGAAATAAATTAATAGTACAAATATGTTTTAGTGGAAATAGTTGTTACTTCGCAATTTTTTCATGCAGTAACATGGAAAATATTTAGAGGAAAAGAAAACATTTTGCATGTTAATAGTGAAAAGAAATCCTATTGGCTTGAAAAAAAATAGTTTATTTTAAAATTTATACATGAAATTAAAATGTTTTTGCTTAGAAAACCAGCAAAAACTACTTGCTGGTTTCGGCTATGAGTTTATTTTATTTATTGCAGAGCTCCTCAAATAAAAAAAAAGTAACTAAAACCTTGCTTGCAATAACAATGTAAATAAAAGTAACTCAGAAGGAAACAAAATAAGCAATAAAAATTTTTTTAAATGCAAAAGGAAATTAAGCAAACTAAAATAAGATGTAAAAGAAGAATCAAAAGACACAAACTTACAAAAATTCTTTTGGCGTTAGCAATTGAGTCTATAGCTTAGAATTTCTATTTCTTAGTTCTTAATTTAGTCGTTGCTTTATGCTATGTTACGCTATCAGTATTTAGTACTCGCAGTCTGGCATGTCATTTCTATGAGCTGTTGCTATTCCACGTTCAATAAACACTTGATCTTTTATATTAAAACAGTATATTGTTTAAATAAAAGATCAATTTAAAAGCAGTAATCGTCTTCTCAATAATGTATAGCTTAAATTCATTTTCAATAAGGTATCGAATTGATATAATTTGTTCATATGATTCATAATTTCTTTGATTGATGAAACGTATTTATGTGATTTACATTTAATTGACTGGTTACTATGGTATTTATTATTCAAGAGGTAAGTGTTGCCATTCCAAGAAATATAAGAACTTTAAATTCCGCGCAATACGGCTAGCTTTCAGTGTGTTTCCACAAGTCGTAACTTAAAATCTGAATTTACCTCCCAGATTCTAACTGTAACTGCTCAGCTTAACAAACTGAGCAATTAACAAACGTGTAAATTTCTCAACAATTTACACATTAATTTCATTTTAGAACTATAACCAAGTGCCATCTTTCACAATATATTCAACTGATAATTTTTATAAACATATACACCATTATAATAATCATAACAGATGTTCACTTCAAATTAATTGTTCTTTATTATTATTATTATTATTTCTTTTCCTTTTTCTTTCTGTTTGCGTAAAATGTAAAAGAAGGAAATGGGTTAGAAAATATTTCAGAAATTCTCCTTTCCGAATTTTTTAAGACCTTTGCAAGTTAGAAGAAAGTGCTTTTTTGCCAACCCTTACTAAGCTTTTTTGATGGCACGTCAAATGTTCTTTTACACCGCCACTTTTTCACTTTCATAAAAAGCTTTCAAAGATGCAGTGCAAGAATGCAAGCCAGAATATCATTCATATTTTTACAGTATCACAAAGATATGACTGAATTCTTTTACTTTCTGAAAGCAACGTAAAAAAATTAATACATAAAATTGAAAGAATAAAAAGAAAGAATATTCCTTGAAGAATACGCTTACATACTCTTTCGTTTTTACTAAGAACGTTTAAAGAAATAAAATGTTGAATTTCAAAATTTATATAATCTATTTTAACCGAGAAGATCATATTTGGAAAGTCAACGAAGACTACTGAGACTGTTAAACAATCGTCTGCAGTAAGTATAACATGTAGATTTATGACATTATTTTGAATCATAGTAATAAGCATTATGTGGAAAATGATCTTTACTTCTTCGGTACTATCCGTGTTGTTTTTACGTTCCCCTTTATGACTTTCAAGAGATCATAGGAAGTTGCTAGATCGTAAATTAATTCTCAATTTGCGTATATAAAATCCTGTTAGAAATGCTTGAATAATAGCTAATGAATGGTTAATCTGAAGAAGTTAAGAATTTTTCGATGAACATTATTCAAAATATTATAGAATTCTAAATGAAAGACTTGAGATACCATCAAAGCTGTTTTGTAAAGCATAACGCAATATTTTTATAAACATTATAACAATCGAAAATTAAGTCCTCAAAAACTTGCAGCAGACCATTTTATAATCATACTGAATATCTGTTAACCCAGTGGTTATTAAATGAATAACTCGATCTGCTTTATATAAAGGGCAGATGGGGTGGAAAATAATCTATGTTTTGTGAAAGGATAAGAAATTTCAACATTCGTTTTAAAATCTAAACGGAGCAAGAACTCCGATTTGTATGAGGTGAAATCTTCTAATGGAAGTTAATGTAACACCTTTGGTTAGAATGGTTAATTTACAACTTGTCTAACTTTCATAAACAGAACTTAGTAGAACATGTAGGAGACGGGACGGCGTGTCACCGTTGAAACCATTAGTAGAACATGTAGGAGACGAAAAGGCGTGTAGTCCATTGAAACAGTTAAGTTTACTTATGATACAGGAGATCATTGAAAACATACTGATGTTTTGATATCAAAAACATTTGACCAATAAAATAATTCCAGATTCTTGACTTCCAAATTGCTGCTATGAATATGCGAATCTACTTGCTGTTTGATTATCCTAAGTAGGGGTGACTTACGAAGTGGCACAAGTGGCAACCGCAAGTGGGACCGCTCACCAAGAGACTCCCATATTAAAGCTAATTACATTTATTTAAATATTATATGCATTTAATTTGATATTGAAATCATATTTTTCTTTAGTTTAGATATTTCTGAACGTTCAAGTAAGGTGAGCCACCATATTTCGCATACCTGCTCATGGTCCTAAAATACTCAAAGCGCCGTTTCGTTATTAGCTTTAAACCTACCAAGCATAATTAGTAAGAAAAAGAATGTTCAATTTCAAAACGTACTTTTTTAAAACAGCAGCTGAAGTTATTTATCGAAGATGAATAACAGATATCTAGCTAAATCCATGCCAAAAAGAGTAAACTGTGTTTTAAAAGATAATAAAAATTAGAAATCCAATAAAATATTAGAAAAAATTTTAATGTGCCTCTGTTTATGCCCTATTATTTTTATGAAATGTGCATATAAAATTTTGAAGTACTCACGAAATTAAATATGAGGTGCAACGTTTTTTTAATTCTTTTAGTCAGATTACTTTTGGTCTGATTATTTTTGTGTTTCATTATACTCTTTTCAAAGAAGAATTGTAAAACTTCTGTTTCTGTATGATTTTATCATATTTAAAACTAAAAACTGGACCTATATGACATATGAAAAACAAACCACAAAAAAGGTAGTGGAGAGGGGTAGAGAGAGAATTCTAGTGCAATTAAATATAAATTTAGATTTTAAGCATTGTCATCGCATTCTCTATATCTGCTATATGAATACTTACAGGTCATACGTTCTGAAATATATATGTAGATAAACATTTCTTAGTGATAAAAAAAACCATGCATTAAATATACAGTCATTGATTAAAGGTTATTTGTGATCTCTAATATGAGTATTTTCTTTTCTTCCAGGTACTGTTCCATGTATGAAATGAAACAATTTCTCCTTCTCTTGATCTTAGAAGTGCTAGTGGTTAATGTAAAGAATTTGGATACAACTATAACAGCACGTAGAAATGTGGAACCCCTACAGACTTTGCCAACTTCTAGATGGTCCCAGTTTTTTATTATTGGAAATCCAAGTGTCTCAGAAGATCTTTCTAAAGGGTATTATTATAAAGTCCTGGAAAACCAAGTGGTTGTAAGTAGATTGCCTCCTCCTTCTCATAGCCAAGTAAATGCATTGCCAGCCGTACAATCGCATGAAATAAGGAACTCTCAGAAAGGTCAAGCAGAATTACCTTCGATTCCTAATCTGGGTTTTACTCATCTTGTTACAGAAGAAAGAAGTAATATTCAAAACCCTGAACCTGTACTAACAGAAGTAGTTTCAAGTAGACCAGAGAAAGAATTTCTTCCAGAACAGGAAGCTGCTTATTTCTCTTATAGACCAGAAAAAGCAAAGCTATTTCCTTTAAGACAGAATTTCGGCAGGAATAGTAAACAGATCAGAAATCAATTACTAAAACCACACGACCGTTTTGAAAAAAATAACAATAAAGATTCTCAGAAAAGTGAACCATCCGTATCGGCTGATTACTTCAATACAAGAAATTTAAGAAGGCTGTCTTCCAACACCACCCTCCGAGGTAATGAGAAAATTGAAGGAAATGCTAGTTCACAGAGGAGCCCAAAGCTGAACGAGAAAATTCCATTGCACTCTATTCGATTGCCTATTCGTGGAATGAGGCATAAATTAGTGTCAAATGAAAGACGAATTTTAAGGCAACCCGAAAAACCTCCTTCTAATACTTTGGCGCACAGTGCGAACCTTACTGGGAGAAGAAGTCGCAAACAAGCTGGTATTGAAACTTTGAGAAACGAAAATGACTCACAAGAAACCTATGCCGGTAGACTTTTAAACAATGAAGGAAGAGCAATAAGTACTATTCTATATTCAAAACCTACGGAAAAAATTCGTTTTGGGCAACGTCTTCGAACACTAAAGCCAATAAATGCATTTTTATCGAAAAATAAAAGTGAAGCAATTGAAACTGTTTCAACACCGGGATTAGAAATACGCTACGCAGATAAGACAACTGTAGTTCAAAATCTCAAACCTCTTCTTAATTCTTCAAACGGAAATTCACACGATAAGACGAATTCTGAAGAACCTTTGCATTTATTTAGAATCTCCAAGCCCATTAGTACAATTTCTGGTTCAATCCCAATTAATGCCAACAGCTATCACCAAAATCAAAACACAAATCCTGAAACACAACGCATTCTTAACAAGAATTACTTCCTTCGATATCGAGGTGCTGCCGATGTTCCAATAAAAATAGAAGTTTCACCACAATCCCAAAATATTGTTCAGAATTTAACAAAAAGTGTTATATCAGGAGAAGGAGTAAATAAAATGGAATTGTATGAAACTGAATTTCTTCATAGTAATATGGAATCAGAACGAAAACAGGAACAAGCCTTTAAAGAAGCTTTATATCCTCCACCTGAGTCTTCTGTTCCAAAAGCAAAGAATCCAGACAGAGAAATCAATCCGAAAGAAATACCAAAAGTAAATGCTGGAGTTCCTCTTGTTTATATTTCTCCATTAGTCGCATATCGCGAGCAATTTCAAAATGGCCCATCACATGTAAGTGAAAACAGAAAAAACTTTCAGCAGTCTCTACCGATCCAGGCAATACCAAATAACACAGAAACATTTGAAACCTCTTACTTGGAAAGGCCCCCGCAAAATATGTACAACTTATATCAACATAGAAATTTAAATGAAAAGGTTTCTCCTTATCAAACTCATTCGCTCTATCCACTTCTTCCTCACTATCACATTCCCCCATCTCAGTATCAGTACCTTCCGCAGGAATATTCTTTTCCAGTTCCCCAGTACAATCACAGGCATCCATGGGCTTTCGCAACTTTACAAAATCATCAACTGCAACAATACAATCCGCTTATTTCTTCTCTTCCATTAGTTAATCATCCTATTTCAGGGCACCCTGATGCTCAACTTCTGCAACCCACACTGAACAGCCCTAGTAGACATTCTCACACCAGACTAGAATCAAATGATCCTTCATTTTCGCATACAAGAGTTGGTAATGGAGATGCCCTTTTATACTCTGCTGAAAAGATGATGCGTAAAGAAAGTGTCGATTTCAGTACTCCTAATACTCCTACTGGTTCACAAAGCCAAATGTTTCACTTCGGAATGTCTGGAAGTTTTAAGCCCGTAATAAATATTATCACAGAAAGAGGATCGAAGTTAGACTTAAATCATCCAGAATCACCTAAAATGAGAGAGAGTAGAATTGGTACGCTTGATTCTCTTGTAAATTCGCCAACAAATAGTTTATTAAATCCGAAATCCATTTCTTTAACCCATGTGCATGATATTGAAAAAACGAATATGAGTGGCAATTTTGAAACTCCAAATTTAAGTTCTTCATTTAAAAACCGTAGTTCTAATACTTTAAGTTTGTTAAACGAAACACCACCATCAGAGCTACATTCTCATTTGTTCAAAATTCATGCATCCGAAAACGAAAAACTCACTCATCTCATAGACAGTGAAGGATTTCAGTCTGAAAAGAAATCCGCATCAGAAGAAGAACCGCTTCAAAATGTTACATCTCCAACACTAAGGAAAAGGATATCGTCCGTTAATTCGCAAAATGGTAATAATGTAATGGAGGCTATGAACAGAAATAATACTGAATCAAATTTTTCTACAGATAAGAATTTTAATGAGTTTATGTCGCTCAGTAATCCAAACCGAAAATTTGAAACTATACCTGAAATAACAACATCTTTTAGCAATTCTAGTTTAGTCGATGAGATAGTATTTACGACAACTCCGTCAGCAGTAGAATTGCTACCAAATGATGATAAAAATAATCCTTTAGACACTGCTACTCTTGAAACTCATAGAGGTTCATCAATAGGTAATATTACTATGGATTTTCTGAACGCAGATACTGTTTCTATAAGAGCAGAAGACAGTAATTATCAAGGAAAAGAAATGGAAATTCAGCATGAAAAGCATCTTACCACAATAAATGGAAAAAATGAAAATAGTCCAGATGTTAATAATGAACTAACTACAGAAGCTATAATTCAAACGGAAACAACATTAACCACTGCTGCACTTACTAAAATGAAAAATAATGAAGAAATTAAATCAACAACGCCATATTCCTTTGGAAGTTTTACTGATAGTGAAGATAAAAGCTTCCTGATCACTGAAAGTGACATGCAAAGTTTAAATAATACTGAAAGACCTGAGAAAGAAATCACAATAGAATTAGTGACAGACCCTAATGGAGTTATTGAGTTCTCTGAAACTACAACAATTACAGCGACCACAGAAGGACAAACAAATTCTTTTGAAATTGAATCTCTTACAAATACTGAAGTAGTAAGCTCACATACCAAAATTACAAAACTGCCTGAAGCAGCAATAGATAAAGTTACTACTGAAGTAGCAAAAAATTTATTTGAAACTGAATCTTCTTCTGATGCTGAAGCGAAAAGCTCGCCTATCAGAAATGAAGAATTTTTTAACACATCAACAGGCATAATCACTACAGAAGCAATGACAAATTCTTTTGAAGCTGAATTGTTTACTAATACTGAAGATACAAATTTTATGACGAATTCAGATAATAAAGAAAGCGAGATAGTAACACTTTCTGAAATCAGTATTAGAAGAAACTCGAATAAAACCCAGGAAGATGCAGATATTTCTCTTAACAAAACGTCAGAACTAGTGAAGGCAATAGAATCAGTTACAGATATCTCTTTAACTTTTCCTACAGAAAATGGATTACGGGTGGAAAGTATAATGCCTTTGAGGAGAAAATCAGTAGAAAATTCTTCGCTGGAAGACGATAATAACCGTGTTGTTAACAATACTCTTCAAGAAGTCTTACCTTATATGCCTACTCTCAATTCAAGTGCGAATTTTTCGAATTCAAATGAAAACCAGAATCTCATGGAAAAAGCAAATACTTTTGTTACAGCAAACTCTGGTTCAACCTTTCAACTGAATTTCACTAATAAAAGTAATAATACAACGAATTCTATTCTTAAAATATCATCCATTCCAGAAGAGGAAATAACCACATTAAATCCTATGACAGTTACTTCTGCAAGGAGAGTAGTTAGACCTGATAATTTAATACTGCGAGAAGATTTATCTGTTTATACTTTTAAAGAAATTCCTCTTAAAAGGAAAAGTATTTGGGTCTCACGTGAAACTACTACTCAGCTTAGTGTAAATGAAGTTACTGAAATTGGAAGCTTATCTGATTCAATTAACATCGAAGAGGAAATGAAAAGGAATAAAAGCAATAGTAATTTGAAAAATAGTAGTGATACTACTCTTCATTTAATATTTCATAACAACGATTCGTTGTTGAACAAAACAGAAGACCTTAGCAACAAAATGACATTAGAAGAGAGAAATTTGTTAAAAGTTTCAAATCTTGAAGAGAAAGAGCCAGAGCACAATGAATATGAAGTTATTGAACTTCCCAAGGATGAGTACATATTTCCTGAAAATACTGTCATAATGCCGAACCTCACTCTTATAAACGATATGACAAGCGGTACCTTTGCGAAGTCTAATATAACTTTGAGCAATGTTAAGCCTGTTATAACTCCTGAAGTCTTATATTATGAGAGTCTGCTTGTTCGTAATACTACAGGAAATAGTTCTGAAAAGGAGCAAGACATTTTTACTACTCCAGCATCTGCAGATATCAAACAAAAAAATTCTTCAAATGAGAATTCCGACTTCTCAGATACCTTTGCTGACAGTGAAAGTGCCCTTGAATCATCTACAAACTCTTTGACTGATAACATAACTACACAAAATTATAATATGCCCTTCATAAATACGAAAGAACACATACTAAACGAAAATAAAGCAATAAATGAATATTCAACAATGCTTATTACAACGACTGATGTCGAAGATATGACGGAAGAAAGCACGTTAATAACATAGCAATTTATATTGTACGAAATTACTCCTACAAACTATTGTAATTAATATTATTCATACTAAAAATATTGAGCTTTTTTTTACGTAGTATTTTAATAAGGTTTTCAAAGCATTTTCGTAAAACGAGGCTGGCGGTATCATCTTCTGCATAACATTTTGTACTTTGTGAGCATGAGTAAATTATTACTTGAAACTTGACAGAAGCACAAAATAGTACTCTAATGTTAAAATTTATATGGAAAATATATGAAAGAACTTGTATAAAATTGTTACCATTAATTTATTTGAATATGCCCTTTTCTGTTACTCCTTTCACTTCTTATCAATTCTTGACTATAAATGAACAGAAATAACGCGTAAGCTAATTTTGTAATGTATTATATTGCGTAAATAAGCTATTATTCACACATAGTGTATCACGCGTGCATAGGTAAGCTTGAAAATTGATAGATGAGCAAAACAGTAATTAAATGCTAAAATATATATGGAACAATAAATGAAAGAACTTGATAAAATTGTTAACGCTAATTTATTTTAAAATATTTAATTCTGTGATTGGTTTCATGTTATTAGATCTTACTACGAATAATTAAAAATTATGCATAAATTATTTTTGCTAAGTTTTTAGAAAGGAATATCAGTCGTTGGTCATTGTGTAGTTTATTGTTTTCGCTTTCTTAACTGTTTAATGTGTAATATTTTTCTCAATTACTACTGAATGTTATTATGATTGTATCAGTAGACGAATATGGTCTTTACTAAGGTTTTTCTGCTAAAGCGTGTCAAGTGTACAATTATTTACTACTTTGCCTTTCATAATTGGAGGTGCAGACGTACTGTGATAATCATTTTGTTAAGAATATACTTAAATACTTTTTTAGGTAGATGTAGAAGAAGTGTATGTCTTTACTTGTTTTTTGTTTGTAAGACTCAAATTATATCTAAATAAAATTAATATTTTTTGTAAGTTGTTTCTCTTTCTTTATTTAAATTAACTACTAGCTAGTTTGACATGAAAACATTAATATCTATGTTAAATTGTTATATCTCACAGAAATGATCTCATGAGATCATATGAATATGCCAGGTGATTAATTGAAACCGCTGAATTTTCCAAGAGATATTTTCAAAATTATATTCAAATGCTCTTAGGAACTATAAATCTTAGATTTGGGATTTACATGCAGCTATAATCATCACTTAAACCCTTCTATGTCTTATAACTTATTCTTAGCAAGATCCACGAGTGTGAGAATGACAAAATGAAAAAGATTTGTCCATTCTAACAATTTGAGTCTATGAAACACATATCTAGTTAGAACATTCTCTTTCATTTTCTGTATGGACCATCAGCATTTCACTGGAGTCTTCACGTATGGGGGTTCGAAGGCAAGGCATGCAAGATTGTGAACTGGATTGAATTGCTTGGGTAAAGCACACGGTGACTATCTGCCTAAAAGAAAGGATACCTTCGCGAAAGACTTTCTAAAAGAAGCTGACTCATATCCTCGTTACATAACGGAAAAAGGCCACAAAACCTGTCATGCAGCTGGCGCTTTTGCCGATCTTTGAATCTAGTCGAACTACCGGTATTTAGCGATATTACCACTCAGACACTGATGGGCCGCAAGATTGAGGAGAACATAATTTATTATGTTAAAACTGACGAAATGTCAAGTAATGCTATGTAGTAAAATGCTATGTAATGTAAATGCTATGTAGGCAAATCTAACTCGCATTAAGTGCATGTGTAATCAGGACCGATTAAGTAACTGAGTAACATAAAGCCAACAAATATTTTGCAAGTATTTCTTAGGCATCTTAAGTACTTTTACAATTAATATAATGCAATTATGATAAAGTATCAATATGTTTCCCATATTACTGGAATTTTGCATAATAAAACAACAGATCACGTGCAAGATGTTAAATTTCCTCTTGTTCCTTTCTTTTTTCCAAACAAGTCTAAATGTTCGATTTGATATTGAAATTATATCTTGCAATGCTCAGTTGTCTTGACGTTCGTATGATTGAATCTAGAAACAGAATAATCCAGGGAAGGAGACTCTATAACAATAAACAGAACATTTATTAAACTTAACAATAAATTAACGTAACGTAAAATAAAAGGAACAAAAGAAGTGGTGATCTGCAGCGTCAAAAGTAAAGCCAGTACTGAGCTTTCTGGAACAGTAGCAAAACAGCCATAACAGCGTGGTTATTTGTAATAACAAAGTGAGCAGCTTAACCAATCAGTCTGTATTAGTTGCAACGAGAAATCCAAATAACCCTCTCAGGCGGCACTCCACTATCAGATACAACTTGTATACGGCGCTCCAACATTTGGAAAATCTTACTTAATTAGGTTATTTTTTAATGAAGTTTTTTCTAGTAGTGAAATTAGTTTCATTAAATTTCCTAAGAGCTCTTCCATTCCTTAAAAGAAAATTTTATAAAAGCATAAGTATCAAATTAATTATCACATTAATGTTAATCAAATAATACAAGACACACATATTTCTTTGCAGTACTTAGTGTACCCACTATTCTTACACTCATGATTCTCTAATTTGGTTTTAATTTTTCTCTTAAACTTTTATTCTATAAAGCACGTATTATACATGATTTTGATACTTAATTTAAAAAAAAATCTATACCAGTACTAATATACGGCATTAAAAATATCTTTTAGTAATTACAGTAGCTCTGCGTGTATTTCATTTTATATGAGTTAGATGTATTATTAAAAATGAAATGAAGATCTAAAGTTTTAAGAAATGTGCTTATTGCTTTTAAATCCGCTCGTTTATTAAATAGTTACAGATGCCAGTACATTACTTTGAGAACTAATTAAGGGCGACATTGCGTGTAAGTTAAAGACACTATATTTAGTTCAAGGACAACACTTCCCAAAACGGAAAGATAATTTAGTCATGGAAGTAGGTACTGCTATTTAACATACAGTAAACGTCCAAAGACGTTGAAAAGATGACACTGAGAACGTTTCTAAAGTCAACAATAAGATTTAGTTGCTTACTCATAAGAACTATTTAAAAAAGAATTAGCCTATTCTGAGAAATCTCAGGTAACTTTACAACTTGAAACTTTGCCAAAATAAGTCGTTTTATAAGAAACCAGGATGTTAAAAACATAATTACATGTTTAAAAATTTTCGTTCTTGGTGCTCAGGAACTAAAGGTTTCAAATTTTGTTACTTTTCATAAGCACCGGAGTTAAATTATTTTTGCAACTGCGCATTTTCTTCAAATAATGCCTATTTAACTCTCGCAGAAACTTCGAAAAGCTTAAATATCAAATTTTAAATTTCATTTTACAATCTACGGTTGCAGCACTTGATTTGATTACTTATTATCTAAAATCTTATACGTGGTCAGTAGGTAGAATATACCACTTTCAAGCCACAGGGATCAGAGGGATCCCGGAGGTCGGAGCTTACTGAGGAGTACATGGGGGTTGCTACGTCATCAACCACGTGGTTCAAGAACGGACGCGATGTTTCTTGTTCGTGACGTCATCACGCATTATCACTTCCGATTATCTTGCTATTGCTACGTCAGCCACATGTTTCATCCTGTTTGTGTTATAATCCCGTTTCATGTCCGCGGTTATCTATTGACACAAATCCGCAACGTGATTGCAACTTGTAGATACATGCTAGAAGTTTCTAGAACATTCTGTTTAGTTCAGCAACGGGCGCTAGAGGCAGTAGTCTTACCCACAGCGCTTTCTGATTGGTTCTCGTGGATCCTGGCCTTAGTTAAACCTTAGTTTTAATTAATTATATTATTTGACTTAATGTAGTAGTATTTAATGAAAAAAATTCATGTATTTATATGTAAATTTCATGTATTTGTCCATCGGTGGCATGGGAAACGTGGACGATAATACAAAGCCATGCTTTTGTCTTATGAATCCTGATATTTGACCGTGTCTATCCTCTTCGTGCATCTGACCTTGTGCAGCGGAAACCACCATGAGGCTGAAGGATGGCGCATAGGCAATTCTCTTCCAACTTGCTCAAACGTTTGTACATCCTCGATAATGAATGAATTCAAAATTTTAAATTTATTTTATGGCTATTTAGGTTAAGATATTTTAAATTTCTCTTTTTCTCATTTCTTTATCTTACGAACATAATTTACGTAATTTTCTTTTCTTTTCGCCGTTAAATTAAATTTACTAATTTTCCCACCCTATTTTTTATACACAATCATAAGACTTTCTTTTCTTTCCACATTTTTAAGTTTTACATTCTTTTCCCCTACGTTTAACTTGCAAAAATAATATATTTTATGTAAGTAATACGTTTTCACAATTTTAATTTTTTTAACTTTTAATTTTACAAAAGTTTTTTTTTTTTTTTTTTTCCTTCAGCTTAATCTTTCCTTTCCGTGTTTTACATTTTTCACTTTATTTGTTTTACTAAAGTTGTACGGATTTTCAAACGATTTTTTCTTTCTTTTTTTACGAAATCAGTCTTTTTTCCTATATATTTTACTTCAAGAAGTAATTTTTAATTTTTCTTTTAGATAAAAGTATTTTTTAATTCTTTGAAGAATTTTCTTCTTTCATTTCTTTTTTCTTTTTTTTTTTTTTTATTCTTCTCTTAAGGTTTTTCTTTTAATGCTTAAAATACTTGATGTTTCTTAATGTTGATGTTACACCTCCATTTATCGCAGCGAAAAGTTACATATATATTTATTTCTCTGTCTATGAAATTTAAGCTGGAACTTACACGCATATAATTTCCCTCTAGAGTCTATCATGGGTAATATTTTCTGTAAATTTAAACCAATAGGTACGGTGTTCATTCTATATAGCTTCATTGGTATATTATATTTCTTATTTATTTACGCTATTAATACTTAAGATACGTAAAACTTTATCTTCTAATCTGTTACATTATGCTACTAACACTTGACAGGTGATACTCCGAACTTTCTCTTCTAATGTAATATATGTAAGACAAACATTTTGAAACACTATACAAAACATCGCGGATTCTCTTTTACACATTTTACTTTTATGATTCTGTTTACGCGGGCTATTGTCCTTCCTTCCGCGAATCTAGTGTAAGTGAATCGTGCACGTTATTGGGAGGGATGAGTCAGCGTTTCATAGTACAGTTCTATTATTGGCTACAGTACTGTCATCCGTCGCCAGGTGGACTTCCCGGCCCACCTGTTACTGCTTATCTTGAATACTAGTCAGTCAGTGCATTGTTGACCTGCTACAGTGCTGTGACAGTATGCTTTCGCGTCGGTTCGTTGTTTTATTTGTGAGTGAGGCTTCGTCGCTGACTACGGCTTCTGAAAGAAAATATGTTGTTTTATTGTTAGCTGATAAACTAAAAATTAGAGAGCAATGAGATAAAGAATTTACGGGTAAACAGTTGCCTAAGATGTGCGATGTTGGACAATCAACGATTTCAGACATTAAAAGGAGCAAACTTACAATTTTAAACTTCGTGTGACTGCTTGAAAACGAAGACGGAAGTTCTTCAAGAAAATCAATGAAGACAGCAACAAATAAAAATTTAGAAGATGTCGTTTTCAAGTTATTTTTGCCGCAAAGTTCTATGGGAAACCCAATTTCGGTCCGATTCTTTATAATCCGACTCTTTTTACATCTTAGCTCAGAAGCTTGGTTGTTCATCTCCTATAGCAACGGCTGGCTAAGAAATTTTAAATACAGGCACGGTATCCATGAATTAGATTTCAGTGGCGAGAAGTTATCAGCAGACTCCAAAGCTGCAAAAGAATTTATTGAAAATTTTATAATCGTAGCACATTCCTAAGATCCTGAGTTTTTATACAACGTCGATGAAACCAGCACTTTTTGAAAAGCTCTTCCTTAAATCAATTTAGCATCTAAAAGGGTGTCTACTGCTCTAGGACATAAAGTTAGTAAAGACCGTGTTACGGCGCTTATCTGTGCGAACTCTAAGGGAAGCCATAAAATACAATTTCTGTTGATAGGGAAGTCAAGAAGTCCAAAAGCATTTACAAATGTGAAAAAGCTTCCTCTCTATTATAAAAACCAACCCAAGGTATGGATGACTACAGCATTGTTTACCTAGTGAGACGACGAAATTTTAATCTCTGAAGTGAAGAAGCACCAAAAATCTCTTGGAAAAGAAGGCAGAAAAGAGCTTTTGATTGTTGATAATGCACAACCTCACCCCACCAGATAATTGTTGGAAAGAGGGAATGGCCAGCTTACAACAATATTTTTACCGCCAAACGTCCCACGTTTGTTGCAACCAAAGAACCAGTCTGTTATCGAAGCCATGAAACGCCATTACGGAGAGCAAATTTTAAGGAAACTTTTGGTAGAAAGCCAAGCCGTAGAAAGTGTGTTGGCTAACCACAAAAAATAAATCTGAATGCTTGCGCTTACATGGTGGCGGAAGCTTGAAGCTTGGTTAGGCAGTCACATTAAGACGTGCGTGGAACCAGTTGAAAGGCATATTAACTGGAAAAGAAAAAGGAAAAAGAAGCTCAAGAAAAGGAAAGGGAAGAGAGAGGAGAAGATGAGGATCATGTGTCACTTGAGGAATTAAGAAACATTGAAAATTCCTGGATGTTCACAAGTTAGCGCTGAGGATATAGCAGAATGGATGGTGTGTGATTCATCAGACTTGGGATTTAAAATTATAAATAATAATGAACTTAATGAAAGTGTCAAGGAAGAAGATGGCCTTAATGTCGAAGTTGAAGTAGACACGATACCATCAGCTAGTGAAGCGTTTGCCGACCTTAAACTGCGTTGAAGTGGATGGAACGTCAGCCTAAGTCTGACCATATGTAACTTCTCATTGTCAAGTAGATGCGCGACTTGGCTGCCCGAAAACGAATAAAGACAGTCAAACAGCTTACTTTAACGGAGAAGATCAGCAAGCAATGACTTTCAGCTCTTGTAAATACTGTATAAAACGCTGTATAACATGTCCATAAAAAGTTGCCTTTTCATTTTAATTAATTAAAACTTCTTTTTCTTTAAAAATAGTTTTTTCTCCCATTATCAACTTACAGTACATGCAGAATTAATGAGATACATTCCGATGACCGCATTGATCACGTGACTTATGTATATATTTTGTAAACAAACAATGCAAATGACTTCAGAGATCACGTGACTTATGTGCAGCTAATGGAACAAGCAAGGTCATTCTTCCTCTTCTTCTCTTGCGGAATGTATCTCATTAAAATGTACGCAGATCCTTTCTTCGGAAAAAATCCAATTATCCCAAAATTTTGATTATACGAAGGGTGTCTGCTCCCAATTGATTCCGATAATTGGAGCTTGGAGTTCTACTGTATTTCGCTCTAGAAATTTTCATGGACATTATTGACTACTCTTACGAAAGTTCTTTACAGATGCTGCTAGAGCCTCCATATAGGAATTTCTGTAGGGCTTTCTCAGCCTCCATAAAAATTTTTCGTAAATGGGGTGGCTGTTTATCTGTCTTATGCGATAAATGCATAGATAGTCAATTTTATATCTAAAAATGCGAGTGTCTTTACCTTTAGTGGAGCTGTTATGTTCAGTCGCGTTTCTTGAGATCAAAGTCCCGACAGTGTAAATGTGCATTCAGACATTGCGAATCGCGTTTTTTTACTAATTTAATCATATAGCTATTAAGTAAAATATTGAACTTATTATATTATTTAGAACAGCTGCATTACGCTTTTCTCCTCCTGCGATGGTATTCTTTCTTCGTTAAATGTTGGCCTGGTTTTTGATCTTCAGAATAGTGGGAGCCATAATAAAGAGCGAGTGTACTGTAATGTTAAATCTTGCTGCAGACGCACATCAGCTTTTATAAATAGTAAAATTAATTCTTAACCACTGTTTCATTGAAAATGAGATTTCATTTTTGGATTTTCTGTTTTATTTTATTCAACATTACTGCTTTGGAATGGCTGCAGAGTTGCCGTGATGAAGCAAAGTTTGATTGGTTATTGAAAAACGGCATGCAAATACAACAGGAAGTTGAAGCAGAAGCCAACTTCCTCAAAAGTGTTTGGCGGCGAATGATCACATTGCGTCACAAATACGAATTATTTTAAGTGACGGTGAGTGTTTTTCGGGCGTATGAAGCGAAGTAGCTTCATTCGAAGTTTTTCACTAACTGGATTAGTAAATTAGGTAAATAATTTGGAAATTAGAGAAAAATAATTGTGCGTTTTCTTTACAGATGTTTCACATTTTAAGTGCATTAGAATAATTGGAATCTGTTAAAGTATGTGAATTAGTTCGATACACGACAAGATGTCGTTAAATATGCCATTAAGGGCGAATCTTTTGTTTTGACACCTGTATTTTTTATTTATATATTTAAGGCATTTCGTACATGACATTTTGTATGTTAATACATGCAAAATACGTGGCGTAAAAATGTACCCGTATGTGTCAGGAACATTCTTTAATATGTTTTCAGGTTTAAAAGTCTGTAAATAAAGTCAATATTAAAGTTTGCTGTAAATTTAAAGTAAGATTTTTGATTCACATCCACAAATTCGGTGTTTCATTTGGATGCAGTTATTTAGGCGATGCTTTTCTGTGTTTGTGTAAGTGTAGAAAAATATCTTTAACCATGCCTGCTGAAAGGCTAAACTGATATAAGTAAAATATTCAACTTAGCATTACTTGAATGAGGGTAATATAGAAACAAATGATGCAGTTAATTGCTTAGAATGTTTTTGAGTGCAAAAAGTAAAGAGTATTTCTGCGTGTTTTTTTTTTTTTTATATATATCTGAAAAGTTTTACATGAGGCTTAATGAAAACTTCAGCTTTTTAGATACAGCTGTTTCTGAATAGAGACTAATAATAAACTACTTTATTGAACTTTGGTGTAATTTTTTAATTTTATCATTACTCCTGCATTTAGACAAACGCACTTCATAAAGATGAAATATAAAATATTTTCAAAATCAATAAGCTGGTCAATGCATTCAGGGTTTTCTGTTTTAAAATTGCTTTACAGTTTTTTAAGTGCATATGAAAGGTTTTCAGGTACATGTATTAAACAATGAAATGCCATTTACGCTCGTTTTCCAAATCCAGATTTGTTCGAGTCAGCTCTGTAACAAAAAATTCTTGCTCTTCTTTCCACTTGAAATATTTTGTCTTCCAGAATGCAATATATTGCTGATATCAATTTCATTAAGTTGGAATTTTTAATATTGCTTATTGTAAAAAATTGCCAGATGCAACATTATTTTTATAGATTTTACAGTTTATGCATTTGATCTGCAAAGAAGTCTTCAGTTGGTTAAAAAAAATATGCATAAAAATTAATGTAAAGGTTTAAAGTTATATGTTAATATCTTCTTAAAGTTTTAAAATATGAATGCTTATAAGTGGGTTGCATAAATTTCCATTAAATTAATAAACAACAAAATAATAACACATTAAATGAAGATTAAGTTTTAAATATATTATTTTATAACTTAATGAATGAATGATTTCATTAGCTACACTGTTTATAAGATATGCCTATCAACTTGAACTTTTAAATAGCTGCTAAAACTCAAATCGTAGAAATGGAATGTGAAACTGCTTGTTGAATATTTATAAAGGTACGATGCAGTGATTTTCTTTTTTAGGAACAAATTGTTTCAGATATTATATAATGAATCTTTTGAAATGCACTCAACCTTTTCATTTGAAATTAATATTATGTTATGGCTGAAATTTCCTAGTTATTAAAATAGAACAGTTTTGCCCTTTTATCTATTAATTTAGTATCTATAGTTTCAATTACTAGTGGATTACTGATTCTTCCATTTTTTAAACAAAAAAAAGTAAGAGTTTTAAAAATCTAAAAATTTGTATAAGGAAAGGATGCAAAATGATAATAAAATAAAACAAGCTGTGCAAATGCTTCCAGTTTTCTATTTTTAGAAAATCCTGATCATTAACATAGTAAACATGTATGGTATAGAAGTCTTTTATTGCTTGTGCAATACTCTGATGGAAAACATAGCTTTTGCTCGGTCTTCTCTTACAATCATTTGCAATAGTATACAGCTTTTTTTTTATATAATTTTTTTCATTGATATAGCATCTCTTGAGCGTTAGGTTAAAATGACAATCATTTACTCAAAAAACATAAAATTATATTTTATTGTTACTTTAATGTTGGCAGTATTATGCTTTGCATAATCTATCTGGTAAATATTATGCTGTTAATGTCTATTAACATGATGTTAACTGTTGTTATGTATGTATAGCACTTGGTTATTTTCATCTGTTAACTTTTGCTTCATTTCTGTAGTTTGCCATAAACGTATTATATGTTCATGAGGGATGCTACTGTATTGTTAATTTTCTGTCTGTTAACAGTAAATTAGGGGGTGAATTCAGTATGTTACTATAAGGGCGAAGCCCCCAGCTTCGCCGGCCGATGATTCAGCCACAAAGCCTTTAGAAGCCAGCCCAACAAAACAAAAATGAACTGAAAAGAAAAGAATAAACAGTTAAACATGTAATAAAATGACACATAAAGAAAAGAAAACGGGTACAAGATCATTCACACATCTACTTCAGCCAAATATCTTTTTGTGTTGATAATATTCATTATTTCCCTGGAATAAAGCAGCATTTTACTATAGTCTTTAAGATCTCTTGGAAATTCAGTTTTAATTTTATCTCTAGTACTAGCAGTAAAGCCGCAGGTTTCAACAAAGTGAACATTATCACCTCTACATAGACGACAAAGATTGTTTTCTTGCAAGGCAAATCTATTCAAGAACATGGGAAAACATCCATGTCCCATCAAAACCTGATTCAGATCTATATCAATGTAGCACTTTCTTTATAAATCTGTATAGTACACATATAATTTTTCTTTCTCCAAGAATTCCCAATTGTTTTTCCGTTTTTCATATATACTATTCTATAAAATTCCAATAGCCTTTCTTCTAAAGCCCTGCAGTTTAATTTCTTTGCAGTTACCAAGTGTAGCTTCTTTTGCCATTTTCTCAGCCCTCTTATTACCATAGAAACCCACATGTACCTTAATCAGATGTATCTTAATATTATACAGTCAAAAGTCGTTAATTCAGGCACCCATAATCCGGACCTCAAAGCTAAAAACTTTCTGTGCATGCGCCGCGTTGACACATGCGCATAGGCATTTACGCGTGCGCGTAAGACCTTTTACCACTGCGCATATGCATTTGCGCAAGCGCAGAATACGTTTTCGCGTGTGCGTTTTATGTATAACGGACGGTATAATCTAAAATTATCTAATTATCTATTTCAGTTAATGTTGATGATTGCGTTGTTTCTTAATCTTCGAATTGGATCTGGTTTATTATTTTTTGCAGAGTGTAAGAGCAATTTTATAAAAGTAAACTTGAACTTTCGATTATGTCAAATAGAATTTCCGTTTCTGGAGCTCCCAAAGGATCGTACAAAACGAAAGTATGTTTCTATGTCCATCAAACAAAAAGTGGAATTGCTGCAAAAAATGGATAAAGACTTGAAGAATGTGACAGAGAGGTTAGTGAAAACGAAAGAATTTCGATTGACAAGTTAGTCAGTATTCTCAGCACAACAATTAACGGGACTTGAACAGCGGAACTTTGTAACTGAACAAGAAATCGTGTCTGTTTATAGAATTAACTCTTTCGCATCGAGAGAGGACAAAATCTCAATTTCCCAAACATCGAAAACGCCCGTATCTAAGAATTTCTCCTGGAATGCTTTTCCTTCCCCCATGGCAAGTTGAATACTACAGCGCTAACAATAGCCTTACTTAAGTAAAGTGAGAACTTCTTTCTTCGACGCTTTGACACTGGGATTGCAACTTCGGGCATCAAAAGCTAAACACTGACAGTAAGCAAAGGAAAGGAATGAACAAAGGAAACAAGGAAATTGTCAACAAAGAATGATTGACGTGTGATTTAACAACACCTGAAAGCAATGAGTAATGCAGTAACGTGATGGGGGAAAGCACTGGGTAGGAAATTATTCAGGCGTTTCGGGCGTCGAGCCGATGTCTGAATGCTAGGGCGCTTTGGGCGACTTCGATACGAAAGAGTTAAAGAGAAAGTATTATCACATAAAACGGCAACTTAAAACAACTTACATTGAAAGAAATGTTTAATAAAGTAAACAAATAAATATTAAGCTTTTTTTTGTAAATTTTGATACCCTTTAGATTATAATTGTTCTTTATTTCATAAATTAAGGTTTCATATTTTTAATTTTAGAATTTCTGCATGCCATCTTACGAGATTTAAACTGATGATCTATAATCCGGAAAAATCGATAATCCGGAATCGTCGAAGTCCCGATGAGTCCGGATTAACGACTTTTGACTGTATTTTGTTCGTAGATTTCTATGTTTCATTTTAATATTCACAGTAAGTTTATTATCAAACCAAAGTCCAGAAAGTGATTGCAAGGCCGAGAGTGCATCAGAAAACATATTGACACATTGACCACCAGATAGGGGTTGAATTCAGTACTCATTTAAAATCTGACTTCGTGGCAGTAATTCAAAATGTGCTTGAATCGTTTTTTATAACCATTTCATTACCTAAGCATGAGCGAACTTGTTGTCTAACAATCAATCGTCTAAATCAACATAATTTATGTCTGTTTTCTATTTTTTGTCTAAAGCAGGGTTTCTTAAACTGCAGGTTGTGACCTACAGCTGGAGGTCGGCAAAAATTTTAGCAGTTTTGATATTTCTTATTATAACAATTTTACATTTACCAAATATTTTTACACAATATATCTGAAAATAGATAAAGATAAGACAATACAAAGAAAAAAATTGAAAACGTACACATTCTTTTCCTAATATAAACATTCATTTTCCTTGCTTTGCACGTGACGCTGTCATTTTGTCTGTTACTTATTTAAAATTTTCACATTGTTCTATGTTTTAAAATTAGAAATTAAAGTTAATGACCTAAAACTGCAATAGTGTATTATAGTACAAGGGAAAAAACTGAGTTTCACTCGCGCGTGTGTCGGATTTGTGCAATATTTATGGGATCCCACAAAATTTTTGTAACTATTATGGGGTCCTGGGGGTCGCGAAGAAATCTCGGTAATAAAAAGGGGTCATGACTGAAAAAAGTTTAAAAAACCCTGATCTGTATACAAATCAGCAAAGGGTAATTGTTTTTAACAAGCAAGGGTAACCCCAAGAGCTGGGCTTCCACTTATTTTTCCTATACACAGTATAATCTCTTCGTGGCAGGAGTTTTTCTGTTGTAGACTTCTTTGTGAAAAAGTAAGAATGATGTCATTTGAAATGATGACCTTTTTGTTGGTTATTGAAAAAGGAGAAGGAAACTGGTGCTTTCATGCAAACTTTTGGCTATTGCAGTAATTTTACTGTATAAAAGAGAAAAGTAGGTTTTCGTATAGTCAATAGTCTTATAAATATTAGGTAAATAAATTAATAACTTTATATATCTTGGTATATACTAAATTATACTTTATAAATCTTCTGTTATATGTTTCAGCTTTGTATTAGAGCTATTTAAAGAAGTAAATGGAATGGTTTATTTTTGCTGAGAAAATAGTACAGTACAAAGTCTTTAATCCGGACGTCCATAATCCAGACCTCAAAGCTACAAACTTTCTGCACATCGTATAATATGTTTAAGCATGCGTGTTTAATGTATAACGGACAGTATAAGCTAGGCTAAAATTATCTAATTATCTATTTCAGTTAATGTTGCAGATTGCATTGTTCCCTTAATGTTCTAATTGGATCCGGCTTATTATTTTTTGCAGGACTGTTAGAGCAATTTTATAAAAAGTAAGCTTGAACTTTTGATTATGCCAAAAAAAGTTTCCGATTCTGGAGCTGCCAAAGGATCTACAAAGCGGAAAGCATGTTTCGATGTACCGCTTCCGATAAACAGTGAATTTCTGCAAAAAATGGTAAAGACAGAAGAGGTTATTGAAAACGAAAAAATTTCGATTGACAAGGTTAGTCGGTATTCTCTGGACACAGCAATTGCTTCAGGACTTGAACAGCGGAACTTTGAGAAAACTAGCTAACTGAACAAGAAATTATGCCTGTTTATAGAATTAAAGAGAAAGTATTAGCACAAAAAATGAAGCAACTTAAACAACTTACTTTGAAAGAAATGTTTATTTAAGTAAACAAATAAATATTAAGCTTTTTTTTTGTAAATTTTGATACCCTTTAGATCATAATTGCTCTTTATTTCATAAATTACGGTTTCATATTTTTAATTCTATAATTTCTGCATGCCATCTTATCAGATTTAAATTGATGATCTATAATCCGGAAAAACCCCTAATCCGGAATTGCTGAAGTCCCAACAAGTCCGGATTAAAAGACTTTGTACTGTATTTGAAAGTAATACTCTAATATGTCTACCTAATATGTGATACTCTAATATGATTCATGTATGGAAAAGGAAATTGAGGAATTGCTGAAAAGATTTAGAATTAGGTAAAAATTTTATTATTTCAACAACCAACTGTAAAATTTTACACTGGTGTATATTTCTTACAGTTAGATATCGAAAAGGTTTTCCTTGAGGTTTCTTTTTATTCTTGTAGCTTTGAAGGTGGCCATAAAACAAAAGGCTTAAGAAGTTTACCTTTTGAGTCAATTTTGTCTTTAATTTTTAGAATTAGAAATTTATTAGATTTTCTTAAAATCTGCATACCTTAAAGAAAGTGAATTACCATGAAAGTTATTCTCTTTAGTTTAAGATTTTCTTATTTGGAACTCATATGAAATCAATATTCTGTTGTTGGTTAAATATTCGCTTATCAAAGCTGTTATAGTAGATATGCTATTTATTATTTTGAAATATTATTAAGTGTCTTTTTTTTTTATTTGAAGCAATGGAGAAGAAAAAATCTCTAAAGCTGAAATACCAACACAAAGATAATGAACAGTCATGTAAAGAAAAGCTTGAAGTGTTAGATGAGAAGTATGTAACTATCAAAAACATCCTAAAGCAAGGTTAGTGTATTAATTTTTAGTTATATTATTATTTTATTGAAACTTGCACATCAATTAACAGAGAGAAAGCTATTTCAGTACTTCGATGTTATAGCAGCCTTGTCAAGAAATGCATTTCCTCTGTGGCAAAAAGCAAATGGTTACTGATCTGCACATGTGCACATAATTTTGTTTTTCTCAGTTAGTGAAAATTTTCTCAGTTTTTCATTGCTAATATTTAATATGCTTACTTTTATATGCAATTTTCAATCTTCCATCTGATGGAGATCAGTGAAATGGGGAGCTAAATGCACAGGTGTATGCATTGCCATGATCTGGTATCCTTCCTATCAGAATTTATGCTGAGGCATCACAGCGGCTGTGATAATGTTTTTGATTAGCTGCTACTGCTAAGTTGTGGCCACCAAAAAGTATTTGTTTGAAATGAATTCTAGTTATGTTTGTTTAAATAAAGTGCTTATAAAACTGTATTAATTAAAACAGTAAATGTAAATTTATTGTCAGTATCTCATATGTGTATATTAAATTGTGTGTGATAGAAAGCTGAATGAATTGCTTATGTAATACACATAACCATCTGGAAACTACTCTATTATTGGGATCAGATTCAGAAATGTATGAATGTTTGTTTGTATGTATGTGTATATATATACACACATTCATTTGTACTTACATATATACATGCATACATGAACAGATACATACTTACATTTCTGAATCCAGTCCTGATAACAGTCCCTTATCTGATACTTGTTAAGGCTGAAATATGCCAATTACCATTTCTTGGAAAGTCTCAGTAAATAGGCTGCCTGCATGTTTTCCCCATTTTTAATGTGAATATGAGCTATTTTCTCTTAGGAAATCCTGCATGAAGGCATCTGTCCTCTTAGGCATATATCCCTAGTTAGCTTTGCCATAATCCAACAAACTAAAACTGTTTTTTGCCAGAACTACTGCAACATAGAAATATTGTTATTTTTTATCTGCCAGTTTTTGTCTATTCTGATATTTATTAGAGTCGAATCTTAGTTATTTTTTTATTTCCATTAAACTGTACTAAGTGAAAATTACTGAAAAGTTGGGTGCTTTCATTTTAAAATGTGCATCAAAAGCATGATATTGTCAGTATTTAAATGAGTTAAATACAAAATCTCTTATAAAATCAATAATTCACTTTCAATTCTTTACATGCATCTTATTTCATTTTGACTGCATAATAATTATGCCATCAATTAAGCACAAAGTTAGAGGCTAACACTTCTAAAAGTAACAATAATAGCAGAAAGGATGCTTGGAAATTGGCTAGCACCTGTCAATACATTCCATTAATTCTGTCCATGCCTGTTTACTGTGAGCATTGTGGTAACCTTTGAAGCTAGTCTAGCATATCTTTATATATGCTCTCAGGTCACCAAATGTGGCAATATGTGTTCTAGACTGGTTTTTGGCACGATTGTGTGTTCTGTGATGGTTTTGGGGGTGATGTTGGTTTCTTTAGCAACCTTTTTTTACGTAGAAATTTGGATTTTGCTGTAATGAGTTTAGTTGCTGGTTAGTTCATGTGGTGGGCGGTTAGAAATAGTTTATGATGCAATGAAAGGGCTAGAGTTGACTTTAAGGTACCTCTTGTATTATCGTGAAGTTGTTTTTTCATTTATCGCCAAGTTGTTGTTTCGTTTATCTCCAAGTTGTATCATTTGTGGTAACCTGAGTAGTTGAATGTTATGGAAACTGTATTATGACATAATCGTTTGCATTATTCCAGAAAATTTTGAATTATTGGATGTTTTGCAAGGACTTTTGTGGTGTATGCTGCTTAGGAAGTACATTGCTTGTTTCATTGTTTAGATGGTACGATGGCTGAATATAGTAGGATTAATTTGAAGTTTCTGTATGATTTGGAACAAAATGGGAAAAGTACGTTAATTGACTGGTGTGTAAATGAAGGTTTACTTAGCATCCATGATCCGGAACTACGTAGTATATTTTTTACTCTTATTTTTGTGAATTTCTGTGGCGACGGCAATATACGGATTGTATAGTTCAGATAATTTTATAATGCTGTTAAGAAATTTTGCGTGACACAGACTGAAAATGAACGAATTTCTAAATAAAGTAAGGAGATATTTGCTTTCTCTAGTACTAAAATACATAACAGGTTTTTTTTTCCTTTTTAGTGTTACTTTTTGTTTGGTTTAAAATGTAGTTTATTGAGATTATGTATTTTTTTTGTTTGCCTCTACTGTAGAATTGGGTGCTCCTTTGACTTTTTAAGTGAAAATATACCAATGTGTACATGGAGAAACTCAAGGGAGTATGTAAATCATAGTTTGTGCAATTCAAGGATTTTATTTTATACATGAAAATAGGTCGATGTGTACATGCATACTGAGTTTGTGCAATTCTTTGACTTGTTATTTTGGCTTGCGTAGCTGCAATTTTTGCGCCAAAAATCGCCACTAAGCAGGCCAAAATGACAAGTCAAAGAATTGCACAAACTCGGTATCCATGTACCGCCAAAAATTGCCAAGTTTCGCCAAGGTGTACCCTAAAATATACTTTACCAATGAAAGATGTGTTGGCAAAATTTTAATCGCATGTCTAGTACAACTAATTTTTCAAATGGCTGGAAATTCTATAAGGATTTAGGAGAAGAATGTTTTGAATATTTATTAGTGAATCAATGTATGAATGGATAGTGAGTCTGGTTGTCATATAAATGCAATAGAGATTATGTGGCGACATGTTAAAGCTATGTTTCCTACTTATAATTGGAAATGCGATTTTGAATTTTATTTGGTGGTTTATATGTTTTTCCATCGCTGTTCTGAAATGGGAGAAGGTCCTTTCAACAAATTTGTTAAATTTTTTTAGTGATGTTTGAAATTGATATTTCTTCTGTTCGAAGGAGCATTCATTCATGGTAAGTGCACTTTATTTTATTTTATTGTTCTTATTTTGTAGAATGTTATGTTCATTGGTTTTTTTTTTTTTTTTTTTTTTAGTTTCTGTTTTTTTCTTTTTTTTTTTGAATTGTTTGTAATTTATTTTAGTTATTTTGTTGATGCAAGTAGTTGATTCTAGTGCGCAATGCCTAGATTGTGCAATTCGTAGATTTTTTTTTTCAAGTTTAAAGAGAATGCTGTGTATATGGTATTGTTTGAAATTTATGGTTGTTATGTTAATTTATTTAAGTGAGGTGTGCGTAGTTCATAGATTCCTTCGCTGCATATATTGTGCTATTCGTAGATGTTTTATTAAGTTTAAACAGAACACTGTGCATATGGTATTGTTTGAAATTTATTGTTGTTATGTTAATTTATTTAAGCGAGGTGTGCGTAGTTGGTAGAATCCTTCACTGCATAAGTTGTGCAATTCGGAGTTGTATTTTTAAGTTTAAACAGAATGTTGTGTACCTGGTATTGTTTGAAATTTATTGTTATGTTAATTTATTTAAGCAAGGTGTGTGTAGTTCGTAGATTCCATCACTGTATAAATTGTGCAATTCTGTGATTTTTTTTTTTTTTTAAGTTAAAACAGATTGCTGTATACATGGATTCCTGTCAAATATTTTTGGTGAGAAACTTTGTTTTTGCTATCTAAATTTTTTGTTTTTCTTTTGCATTTTTAGCTTAAATTGTGTGTTCAAAATGTGGTTTTTGCAGACATTTTAGGCTTAAAGTTTGAAATGTAGACAAAAATTTAGATAGTAATATGGCACCGTGAGAAATTTGTCGCTAAGTGAGGACATATATGAGAGTAGTTACCTAGTCTGGATTCTGCTGTAGTTTTTTGCTTTAAAATAGGAAATTTAGAGTAATTTTCTTCTGCCCGGCTTGTCTCTTAACAACTTACTTCATTAAAAGCTCATGAATGAAGGCTGACTTAACTACAGTCTCATACGAGGTAGAAAAATTGCAAGCCATGTGCTGGTGGTGCATTATAATTGCAACTCATGGGAGGACATAGCGACAACCTTCAAGTGCTTGTTTTAAAGAAACAGAATATAGAAAGATATTATTTAGTTTGTTAATATAATTTTTTTGGATAAGGAAGGGAAGGGATAGCTTCTTTTTTATTTCAATATCAACTTTAGACCAATTAAAGCAAGCATTTATCTATGGTGTCTTTTTTTTTTTTACAGGGGGCAGTGTAATTCTGTTCAAATGGAAAGTTTTCAAGATAATATTTGTTAGTCTTCTGTTAAATTTTACTGCGATAAATATTGTGCATTTACTAGGTTTATTAAGAAATGAAGCAGAGTAATTCATTATTTCTCAGCATATGGTATTTTGCTAAAAAATTGCGAGTATAGTTTCTCATACAGTGAAGCTATATGCTGGAAGTTGTACAATGGAAATGAAAATGTTACCTGCTGAAAGAGTATTAGAATAAGAATTGGAAATTAGAAGTCATTTAATTGTTACTGAACAGATTTCATGCTGAGGCAGAGACAAGTTAAAGAGAATAACAATCTCTTTCATGTGATTTTGAAGTGCTATTATGCTTGAATATAGTATAATTGAACAATATCTGCCAGAAATCAGATAACCTGTTTAATCAATTTATTGATGTTGGAAAACATATTTCACTGCCAAAAGGAGGCACCAACAGATTGTTCAGATTGATATCAGCAGGTACCAATTAAGGCATTTTCTGATTATCTGTGTTCCTACCGAAAAGTCGGGGAAAAGCATTCACGATGCAAAATTGTATGTCACCAAAATAATTATTTGGCAACCGATGATATTGCCAAAAGGTATTTATATGGCAATCCAGAATTACACATCTATTTTGATTGGTGCACAGTGAGCTGAGCTTGTGCCATTCTCTAATGTTTTTTAAGCTCATGAGTTCATGAATGTTTTTTAAAGTTGGCAGCAAGTTCACAACTTCAGTAATGGGGTGCAGATGATCAAAAAGTACCCTGATTAATATGTAAGTGCCATAAAAATTTCCTTCTCTTGGATTATGTAGATATGTTAAAATATACTATTAATTTAAATACTTTGTGATGTGTCGTATTTTAAATTCATGCAGAATGCCTACCAGCAGCTGAGTGATTAAATCCTTAAACGTAGGATAAGTCCACCGTTAATAATTTTGTTGGTGAAATGGGCAGGCAGTATAGGTAGCTTTGTGGTTATTGCTATATCATATGACTTTTCACTTAGAAAGTAGAAAATAACATCTCTGATAGTAATTATTCAAATGAATTGAGTAAAACAGTAAACAGCAATATTTTATTATGTAACCTTAGTTGAGTAAAACAGTTGGTCGTGTTGGTGTATTTAATTATGGCAAAGCACGCGAGGGCTATCTGCCTAATTAATCTTATCTGCCTACTGTAAAACAGTAAACTACAATATTGTATTTTTGTGGTGTACAGTCTTATTGTGATGAGTCGGAGACAACTAGAGATATACTGGGAAACTGCTATCACTATCCTGTTTGTTATCTGTTACTTTGAAATGGGAATATTCAAAGTAACAGATTACAGATAAGTTATTTTCAATCACCTGACTTGTAACCATGGGAATGACAGCTGAACCCCAGATGGTTCAAGTCGCCTAATTTTTCTCCCCTTCTACTCCATTTGTGTTTAGCATGTTTTGCTTCACGAAAAACATGTGAATGAAAGCTGACTTAAACTACAGTCTTAAAAAAAAGTGCTATGCAGAGATGACAACATTCATTATTGTTGCAATTGGGAGAGGGTATTAATGGCCTTAAATGCCTATTTTAGAGAAACAGACTGTAGTCACAGGAGTACCAACCTTATGATTGGCACACACCTGTGATTTAGGCTATTATATAATATGCTTTTGCAGGATATTTGATTCTGAAAAAATGTATAAGCTAAAACTGCAATATGCTACATTATGATGCATTTAGTGGTATTTTTCAGTATGGAAATTTAATTTACATTTCGGCCATTATTACAATTTTATAATTGCACTGTACAGAAAATATAATGCCTCTTTTGTAAAAGATAATGGAGGAATTGCTACAAATGTTTCTTTATAGTCATATATCTGAAATAAATTTTTGCAACCCCAATATTTGATTTTATGACCCCATTTGGAGTCGCAACTCGCAGTTTAAGAAATGCTGTACAAGACCAGATGACACGAAAATTCATCAGTGATCTTGTACTGTATATGGATAGACATGGTATATATTTTGCATCACAGTTTAAGGATGACTCTTTGCCCTATTGAGGATTACATTTTCTTTGTTTGCTGCCTATCACATAGGTGTTTGTTTGGTCTTCTGTCCCTGTTTTTGAGTGAAGGGTGCTTTGTGCCATTTGCCTTTGTTTTTTGGCAAGTGATATATACTCTTTGAAATACTACTGCACAATATGTGAAAATCTTTCACGTCCTTAATTTTTGTCATATTGGAGTAAAATCTTCAAAACTGTAGCATCATGTAATGCTCTGTAAAATAAAGACAAATCTGGAGCCTTTAACCCATCACACATTAAAGTAATGAATGGTGAGTTCAAGGCTCATATTATGTTACTTTTAAATCAAGAGCATTCAATGCTTACTGGTCTAGAAAGCATGTGGAGTTTATGGGATCTGTATGTTGTTATGTTGAGTAGATCAAATTGCAGTGCCTGTCAGAGAAAATGGGCACATCATGAAAGAATAATTGGAAATGTGTTAAACTTTATAGTGGATAGATAATCAAGCACTTAACAAAATGATTTAATTTTCAAAAAAGTGCATTGGTAAGGCATATATTATGCAAGGCATAGAAAAGATTTAGTGGTTCTGTTTTGGGGAATACATTCTTGAACATTTTGTTGCTCTGAGTCAGTGAGTGCTTGAATCTTGTGAGGCGGCATGATATGTTAGTTTCCAGTTCATCATTGTTTCATAGTTGAGGGAATGTATTCAGCTGCTACCTAATCATGCCTCTTTAATCCTTGATGTTCGTGGCTGGTTTTTATCTTGCTGAAAAATAGTGTTTTAATGTCCTAAAAATACAGAAGATTGGGCTAGAAATACTGAAGAAGACTAGACTGCATCAGCCATCAACATAATGGCATCCTGTTAATGTATCTGTAGTTCATACTAAACATGAATAGCTGTTAGCACTTATGACATCCTAAACTATTTGTCTACATTTCTGCAACGTATTTTACTTGAAAATGGTAGATGCGTCATCTAGTCGTCACATTGCTTCCATACCCTCATATATAGACTATGATTTCTAAGTCAGAAGCAAGATTTTTTTGGATTGCACTCTCCTGTTTGGCAGTCCACACAGCTGTGTAACAGTAGTGCAGTCATTCATGACACTAGCTCACTGAGAAGTCTTTGTAAAGTAGCTGTTCAACAGCAAATCTACATCACCCATTCATTGGTAAACTGTTTCAATATTTGAATAATGGAGTCATCCTATACACTTCGTAAAATGCCTCTGTTGTAAAGCTATCGGACACTATCAGCTGGTTGTCAGCTACAACATGTTGCCATGTGCAGAAATTTCTGCATTCTGACAGCAGTCTTTTTACTGCAGAACCCTGTGCCATTGTACATTTCCTTCCTGGCTCCATCATCGTCAAATCCAACAAATAGATGTGGTACCAGTCTGCTTTTCTTCTATGAAAGCGCTCAAAGATCAACCAGCAGCACGAAGGCCTAACAGCCCCCTTAACAAGGGGTGAGACTGAATGTTACGAGTATAATGTCTTAAAGGCATTTTACCTTTTTTTTCTTCATTCACGGGACTCAAAAACAGTCCAAAAATTTGTATATTATACAACTTTCTGGATTGTTTCAGAGACGCAAAGCGATGACAGTGCTGAAACTGATGGCTTTGTGCATTGTTTCGTTGCATATATCCCACATGTTGTTCTTTTGATTCACTTACAAATGCAATTTCCATAACTTATACACTGGCACCGAAATTTTTGTGTCAGTGCATTTGCTTCTTTATGGTGTGGCATTTTCTGTTCTTTCTTTCTATGTATTTCACATCATTTATTGGTTTTGTTTTGGGAAAATATAGAAAATGCCGCACGTGGTCAAGTGGTTAAATCTGCTGAATACTGGGAATTCAATCCTATGTGAATATGCTTGCTCCATTGTCAAATTTTATGGTTTATGTAATATGAATATAAGGTGGTTTTGCTTAGAACACCTTTCATAAAGGCATCCCTTCCCTTAGGTAGATAGCTCTTATGTGCTTTGCCATATTCATGTAACTTTTTGTTTAAGTAGTATGTAATTGGAGTATTTTTCTGTATATGTGAAATTTAATTTTGTTTAATATCCAATAGTGCTGAAAGAGTTAAAGGCTGAGAAAGAGAGTCATCAGTTATTAATAAAACAGGTAACTGATAATTGATATTTTTTTGATATTGTATGAATAATCTGGAATTGGATTTAAATCATTTGAGCTTAAAGAGATAGAAATGTAAATAAACATCTCTGGCACTTATCTGCCTTTTCATAAAAGAATTGTACGCAAAGGATGTTATACCTCTGGCATTCATATTTACTGAAAGATTCGCTTATTTAAACTCTGATCAAAATGCAATATCTTAAACAAGAACTGGAAAGAAATTGAAAGTACTTAATGGGAAAGGAAAATTTAACAGTAAAGAACCTGTTATGCCCAAATGTTTTGTGCATTACTGAAATAAAGAACACATCATCGTATAACTTTGTTTATGTATTTTCAAAATAAAGAAAGCAGCATTGTATAACTTTTGTTTTCGGAAGTTAGTAACTCATGTATAATGAAATTGTTCTATATAATCATTTTTAAGTAGAACTTAACAAATGTTTGAAATTTGTAGTTTTTCTGATATGCTGATATAATTTGTCATAGATTTTTGTGATTCATGTAGTCTCTTAGCACTTGTTTTTTCTAATTGAGGCTGAAATTTAGTTTTCTTCATGAAATTTTTTATAAAATTCAACTGATATTCTTGACTTCAAATAAAACTTAATCATTTTTGGATACTTTTTTACATTTAGTTTTTCTCCCCTTTGTTAAATGTGAAAATTGCTTTCAAAATGGGCTTTCTTATCTCACATTCCCCTTAAATTTTTGGAGCAATTCATTAAAGTGTTCTTTTTGGTATATATTTGGCAGCGGCTGAGTGGTAAAATCGCTGAATGCTGGTACTTCCAACCTAGGTTCGAATTCAGGCAAAAACACTGGCTGCATGTGTGTTTTTGTGGCTTTTTCTCATGTTGAAGGTGTATGCAAGCCAGTTTCCCTTTAAAATCCTCCAAAGGCATCTCTTCCCTTAGGCAGATAGCATTAATGTGCTTTGCTGTAATAATCAAAACCTATTCAGTATAATTGGTACTTACATATTGGTGCAATTTGTTAGGTGCAGCTTGCAATTTTTTAAAGAAATAAAGGCAAATTCGGAGAATGTACAGTTTGCAACTTACAGCGGATAGAGTTACCTAAAGAGCTGTTATGCGCATGGTTGCCAGACTTTGGTGACTTTGATTGAGGTGGTCGTGATAATACTTAAGTACCTATTTTTTCCTACGTGTAGTAGGTCTGACACCATTTGTGGATATGATATTTCTAAGTGTACTTCCTCTAGTCATCTTCATCGATTCAATATCTATTTAGTCAAAGAACTTGTGAAGGAGGTTTGGTTTATTAAAGTATAATGTGTTAAAATTTTTCATGAAATGGAATTTCTAATTTTTTTTAATATTGTAAAGTTGATGGGAATTCATTAATTATTGCACAAATTTTTTTAATTTCAATTTGTTTTTATTGGGTATCTCATTTTAAAAATTACTAGAGTTATCTAATGAATTTTTCAATCAATGTGGTCCTCCTTGTCTGTGTCTGTCAGGATGTCATTCTTCCAAAGGTTTATTAAAAATTTTATTTAAATGTTTCTTAACTAGGTAAAATTTAAAACCAAATTTTTATTTTAATATGCTATAAGAGTAAATATAAAATTTATTGTATTTTTTAAATAAGTGTTATGTTAGGGTAAAATAACATGTCGAGCAAATATTAATTTAGAAGTCAAACAACAAAAATCAGCGTTATATTTGCAAATTTTCACAGGACTAATTTCAATGATTTTAATGAACCATGAGCCTCAGCTGCCAAAGTGCAAATGAATGAGATAAGATATAGTGATAAGATAAAAGAAGTTAAGCTACTAGGCTGGACAGGAGTTAAGCTACTAGCACTGTCTATTGATGAAACAAGAAAAACAAAAATATTATTTCCTTCAAGGCTGAAGGTAAAGATGGATTGGAATTATGGTCATTAACTAGAACAGAAATATTTTTTTGAATGTGAAATGCCTCTAGAAAATATAATTCACCAATGGAAGATGTTTTTGAATAATTTTGGTTGCAGAAAAATGGAAAGTGTGATTTCCGAACCAAAAATGCTGGGCAACAAAAGACTTCTCTGTTTCCTTTTTCCTAACATATGCTTTGTTTCTTAACATGAAATTTTAAGGTTTTATTTTTAAGGCTACGGTTTACCCTAAACCTTCAACGGTTTGTCTTCCACCACATTTCAAATCATGTCATCCAACTAAACAAAAGTTAGCTTCATTTTATTCCTTTGTTTTCGTGCACTTCAAGTTTGCTCCTTCAAACTGGCTCAGGATCAAGAACTAAATTATTTAAAAGCATTAGCTACTGACAGGGGCTTTTCACCCAACATTATTAACCAAGCAGTTAAAAAAAATTCTCATCTCAGCACACCAAAAGACACACTCTTGTTTTAGAAGATTATAAGAATTCTGTGCTCGTTCCTTTCTTTCCATCAATTAGCTATAAAATTGCACACATTTTACAGAAATTTAACTTTTGAGTCTTTTATTCTGCTGTCAATAAAATTCTGATTTCAATACTTAAGGACCCCATTCCAGATATGAATTCCTGGGGTATTTACAAAATTCCTTGCCAGTATGGTTTAATTTACATTGGTCAAACTAAGAGAGCCTTAAAATTTCATGTTAAGGGACATGAGGCATATGTTAGGAAAAAGGAAACACAGAATTCCTCTGTTGTCCATCATTGTTGGTCTGAAAATCACGCTTTCCATTTTTCTGCAGCAAAAATTATTTAAAAAAATCTTCCATTGGTAAATTAGTTTTTCTAGAGGCGTTTCACATTAAAAAAATCTTTTTGTTCTAGTTAACGACCCTAATTCCAATCCATTTTTACCTTCAGCCTTTAACCACCTAACTGTTTCATTTTCCTACCATACTGTGACCAAAAATAAGCATATTTTTTTGTAAACAGTTTTGTAATCTAGTCAATTACATGAATTCAAATCAGCAGTCAAAATGTTACAAGTGTTGCATTTATTAATTTAAGACAATTTTTAATTGCAGTGAAATTAAGGCATTTTTACTTTTAAAGTTGGCTTTTTTATGACAAAGCTACGGAACTGGAGAGAAAATTTTACATAATGTGAAAGATAGAGATAAATGTGAAAGAAGTGAAAGGAAATTGCGGCGATGGTGGAGGAGGATTACTAGTATCCATTTTACGAAAGTTCCGAACCTGAATTAGATCATCTGAGCTTTCCGCTTCCTCATCGTCAGTAGAGAACTTTTATGAAGAACTTTTCAGGACTACAAGAATCATTTATAGAACATTCAGATTCCCTATCTGATCCAGTATTAGTATTATATTCTGTTATGAGCCATTTACTGTTACCCATTGTTCTTTAACCATATGGCAGCAATGCCAGGCGGGTGGACTTTTCTCCTCTTTCTTACCTATTGTTCTTTTATTTCATGACAAAATTGGGACGAAATACTATTCGCAAAGCCTAATACACTGAACATGTGGAAACAAACTTATTGAATTTCTTTACATAATGAAAAGAGGTAAGACCTGTCCTTGAACTAGTTTTACAATTCAGTCTCTCCTGGACCACTAGAGACATCGACTAGAAACATTGCAAAGCAAAAAATGGTAAAAAGCTGGGACAATTAGTGGGTTGGTGTAGGAAAATAGTACACTGCCCGAGCAATGTACGGGCAAATAAAAAATGTCCCTTTTTGCAGCACCCGAATAGTGTTCGAGCAAAACAGTTAACTGGTTAAGGAAATTATGTTTTAGTTTTTTTTCCTGTTTCTTCAATAGATGGTGCTAGTAGCTTAACACCTGTCCAGCTATTCTTATCGCTATATCTTATCTCTTGCACTTTGGCTGCTGCGGATTAAACCATTGAAAGTAGTCCTGTGAAAATTTCCAAACATTGATTTTTTTTTTTACTTCTAAATTAATACGCGCTATGATACATAATTTATTTTATTTAATAAATATTATCATGGAAACATTTCTGTTGATTTTGCTTTGCTTACTTTTTCAGCCCTATTGTGTCATGAAATTTCAATCGTGCTTAACTGTTCTTTGCCATGAGACCATTGGTTTTAGAAAATTAAGAGATACACTTTTGAATTTCTTTTACAATTGGGCATCTAGAAAGTATGTGAAATGTAATAAGGCTGTTTTTAGCAGTATTTGTGGGAAGTACAAAATAGGTCAATCATATACTTAATTTTGTTAGCAGAGTAAAAAGCACATGTATACTCTAAAAGCTTGAAAAAATCCATAATTCAGAAACGCCTTTTGGTTTGTTATATTTTCAATCTGAAAATATTCTTTACTGAACTTTGCAGAGATAAAATTATTTTGTATTTGGATAAGGCCTTGAATAAACTAAACTGTTTGTTAAGCTGCAGTACAGTTAAACTCCATTTGGATTACTTTTCAAGCCAACTATAATTAACCATATAGTTAATTTAGTTTTTAATTTTTGCACTGATTGTAATTTTGCATTGGTAATGGAGAAGTTGAAGTGCAATACATACTTTAAATAAACAGATGTTGCATTTTTCTTCTTTAAAAGCATAAATTTATTCTAAACTGCTAAGTTCAAAAATTGCTGTACTGTCTTGTTATTTTGCATCATTGGAAATGGCTTATTTTAATTTTCTTTGAATAGAAATTTTTTATGTACTTTTATTTCATGCAAATAAAACACATTCTGTAGCTTTAATATTTCCTTTTAATCTTACATAGGAGAAAAAAGTAACGTAATATTGTTTAATTAGAAATAGAAATGGGTTGCATTTTTTACCAGAAAATAGTGCTCCTCAAAGTTTAATTTGTATAATGTCTAGATTTCATTGCTTATTAATTTTTTTTAAATAGAAAGAATGATACAAATAGTAAATTTTGTCTGTAGACAATTTTTCCTAGATTTGCTTTGAAATCATTTCTTATGCACATTAGAACAAAGTATAAAATTATGTATGAATTATAATCAGTTTTATTTTAATATCCTGAAATTTTATTGCATAGTTATGCAGTTTCATTTTTCTGTACATTAAACAAAATTAAACCATTTGCATCTGTACATTTTGAATATTATTCACTCTTTTTCTCAGTGTGAAAAACAGAATAAAGAATTGAAAGAGAAAGATGAGTTCCTGGAACGTTTGCAATCAGGTATTGTAATTACAGACTGTAATTTTAAAAATTTATAAATTTTACAATATTTCAAAATATAAATATTCAGCAGTTCTAAGGTTTGAAAATATGTTCTTTTTCCTGTTTAGAAAATTAGCTTTAAAATGAGGAAAGCATGCTTGTTTAATACATCCTAAGTAAAATTGTGCGTATTAAGCCTTTATTTGGCAGTGCTGGTCAAAAGCAACATATTTAGCCATTTGACATTTAAAGGAAGCTGCCCTGTGAAAACTTGTCTTTTAGAAAAGTTCAACAAGTAGTTTAAGTTCATTGAATTTAATTGACTGAATAATCATGGATTTTTTTTAAATCATGCAAGTAATATTTTCTTGTGATTTCACTATGAAATTTTTAATTTTTTTTAGTATCAGAAGCTGTTGTGGATGAATACAATACCCTGAAAGTGAAATATGAGTTGGAAATAGAAGCTGCTACTGATGCTTCAAAAAGGGCAACTAAAGTTTGTTTCTTTCTCTTCTTTTCTTCTCTAAGCCATTACTCCTGTAATCTTTGTTCCAAATATTATAAATGGTTGTTTGTATAATGATAAAATGTTCTTGAAAGTAATCAGGTCATCTTAGGTTTTATGTAACACATTCTGTACATTTTATATTCATTTATTGAAAACTTTTAAAAATTTGTTCGCATTCACATCATCCCCTCCCATAAATGGAAGATTACATAATCTTTAAATATAATTTGATACATGAATGTTTTATTTATGCATGATTTTATATTCTTGAATAATAAATTTTGAGTAAAGACAATTTTGCACAATCATAATGATGTTAAGTTTTAAGAGTTTGACATTGGGAATGAAAACATCATTATATGTAGTTAATTTTAAAAGCGTGGGTTGGAAAACTGAACGAGACTGGGGGAAAAAAAAATAGTACATAAATTTTAATTTCAGAAGCACTGAATATTGAATTGATGTGGCTGAATACTAGATATAGCCATACTGGGACATAAAATTTTTGTTGATTTGCAGAAATTTTAATTGTTAATGAAATTCTGCAAATCAAAAAAATACAGAGTAAAAGGATTCTCTTTTAAGAATCCACTGGCATTCTATTTTGTGAAAAATGTAATTCATTATTAAACCTTTTCCCCAAAACTGTATGTAGTAAAATTTTATTTACCTCATTAAATTGATTTAGAAAATTACTCAGCTGATTGTGATATTCATTTCCCATCAAAATGGTGTAAAATAATACAAGAATATAAACTACTACCTTCATGGACAAGTAGTATTACAGACTGATATTTCGCTGTCTTGGATTGTAAATTTTAATGATATGAATATCTTCTGAAATTATATATATATATATATATATATATCCGTACATACATATACAGTCAAAAGTCGTTAATTTGGACACCCATAATCCGGACCTCAAAGCTACAAACTTTCTGCGCATGCGTTGCGAATATGCTTGTGCTTGTACGTTTATGAGTGCGCGTTTAATGTATAACAGACGGTATAAGCTAAGCTAAAATTATCTAATTATCTATTTCAGTTAATGTTGCAGATTACGTTGTTCCTTAATCTTCGAATTGGATCCGACTTATTATTTTTTGCAGACTGTTAGAGCAATTTTATAAAAGTAAGCTTGAACTTTCGATTATGTCAAATAGAATTTCTGTTATATATTTATTAATATGTAAAGGATCTACAAAGCGAAAGTATATTTCGAAGTTCATTAAACAAAAAGTGGAATTGCTGCAAAATATGGATAAAGGCATATCCTTTGTTTATCTTTAACGCCACGGCACGCAATGAATTGGAAGTTGATCTGTCAGCACTATCCTTATCTTCAGGGCAGATGTTTTTATTTTATTTGGCTTATAATTCCTTACTAAATGTAGTATTTCATCTCGATGTACTCCGTCTTTGATATGATTTAAATCAAATTCCTCGTCATTATAATTTGCTTTCGATAGCGAAGAAAGTGACAGAGGTTATTGAAAACAAAAAAATTTCAATTGACAAATTAGTCTGTAGACACAGCAATTATAGGACTTGAACAGCGGAACTTTGTAACTGAACAAGAAATTATGTCTGTTTATAGAATTAAAGAGAATGTATTATCACAAAAAACAAAGCAACTTAAACAACTTACATTGAAAGAAATATTTAATAAAATAAACAAATATTAAGCTTTTTTTTGTAAATTTTGATACCCTTTAGATCATAATTGTTCTTTATTTCATAAATTACGGTTTCATATTTTTAATTTTATAATTTCTGCATGCCATCTGACCAGATTTAAACTGATGATCTATAATCCGGAAAAATCGATAATCCGGAATCGCCGAAGTCCCGACGAGTCCGGATTAATGACTTTTGACTGTATACATATACATACCGGGTGTTAAAAAATTACCAATTTAAGAAATTAATTCAATTAGTTAGGCTTTGAGATTATGGTTAAATTAAAATTTTTATAGCATTTGATGAAGGAACTGTTAGTAAGTTGTTCTGAATTTTATTAAATAAAATATTTTGAATTTCAGCATTTGTCTGAGTAGCATTTGGTGTATAAGATGCTTTTTATAACCTGCATTTGAAACTTTCACACACATATAACATAAGCAACATTTGTAAGCAGTCCATCAACATTTTAATAAATGATATGAAGTCTGTGTATGGGGCAAATTTCAAGCCTATTTGATGCTCCCTCTAATGCAATTTTAAAGTACATTGATGGCATTCAAAACATAATAGTGTTGCGTTTTGGATTACCTTAAAAGTGTATTAGAGAAATAATTGATTTTTTAGAAATTAGAAATGACTGTTTAAGCCTGTTGCATAAACTGATATTTCATTGTCATTATATAGTATATATAATCAAATACTTAAATTAATAATTTAGTAGAAGTATATTAAACCATCTCAGGAATATATATGTATATGCAGAGAGTCTCAAAAGATTGTTTGCCAAACTTAACATGCTGGTCTGTCATACCATGACAAACAATATTTACACAGGAACTTGTGTCCAGAGATGCGAGCAACAATCACTAAAGGGTGGTGTTTGCAGGTGTGCGGGAGAGTGGCAAGTGTGATAATTTCAGGCGAGAGCATTACAGGAGAAGCAAGCTGTAATGTCCCTCCTGCACGGTCTCCAGATCTGTCACCCATTCAAAACATCTGGTCATGGGTTGCTGAGACACTGGCCTGCCATCCTTCTCTAGCTATTACAGTTGATGAAGTGTGCCATAGACTTGAAGCAGCGTGGAATGAGTTGCCTGTTCCTGTCATCCAAGCCCAGTTCAACCCAATGCCTAACCAGTAGGCCATTTTAGCTGCCAGGAGTGGTAGCTGTTTCTACTAATTTCGCACACTTGTAAACCCCCAAACTGCTTACATTTTGTCTTCATGCTGTACTGTTTACGTACAATAAATTCTTCTTTATCTTTGCTTTCCTTCATGGTGTTGCGGTTTTAAGGCCAGAAGTGGACTTTATACTTCTCGAAATTACCGGAAGGCAACGGAGTCGAATTACGTCTTCAGCTAATATAGTGATCAGTTACATTTATTCAATTACAATACCTATTTTGGTGATACAGGGGCAGGACCAAAAAGTTTGGTGACTTTTGGCGATTTCTGACCAAATTTGCCAACAAAAAATAGTCGTCTAAACCGTTGCCAGCTTTTCGATATCTCACCAAATTACCAAGATACCCATTTACTCAATGTTAAATAGACTTGTGCCTGTATTCTTACATTTCCAGCATAGTTTGTCTTAATTCAGAAGTCAAACAACAAAAATCAGCGTTATACCTACAAAATTTTCACAGGACTAGTTTCGATGGTTTTACCGAACCATCATCTTTAGCTGCAAAACCGCAAATGAACAAGATAGGAAATAATGATTAGATAAGATAAGAAAGCCTGGACAAGAATAAGCAAGTGGCGCCATCTGTTGGCGAAACCAGAACTAAAACATAATTTCTCTAAAGCCGAAGGCTAATTTGGATTGGAATTAGGATCGTTAACTAGAACAGAAAGATTTTTTTGAATGTGAAATGCCTCTAGAAAATCCAGTTCTCCAATGGAAGATGTTTTTTGAATAATTTTGGCAGCAGAAAAATTGTGAAAGTGTGATTTTCGGACCAACAATGTTGGGCAACAGAAGACTTCTGTGTTTCCTTTTTTCTAACATATGCCTCATGTTCTTTGACGCGAAATTTTAAGGCTCTCTTAGTTTGGCCAATGTAAATTAAACCACACTGGCAAGGAATCCTATAAATACCCCAGGAATTCATATCCGGAATGGGGTCCTTGAGTATAGAAGTTGGAATTTTATTGATGGGAGAATAAACAACCCGAAAGTTAAATTTCTGCAAAATATGTGCAACTTTATAGCTAATTGATGGAAAGAAGGGAATGACAACAGAATTTTTATAATCTCCTAAAATAAGAGCGTGGCTTTTAGTGTGTTGAGATGAAAATTTTTTAACTGCTTGATTAATAATGTTGGGTGAAAAGCCCCTGTCAATAGCTATTGCTTTTAAATAATTTAGTTCTTCATCAAGGGCTAGTTTGGAGGAGCAAACTTGAAGAGCACGGAAAACATAGGAATAAAATGAAGCTAACTTTTGTTTAGTCGGATGACATGATTTAAAGTGTGGTGGAAGGCAAACCGAGGAAGGTTTACGGTAAACTGTAGTACTGAAGTTGGATGTGTTACGTGTGACCAGAATGTCGAGAAACGGAAGAGAATTGCAAGTCTCAAGTTCAAAGTGAACTGAATAGCAGGATCAATAGAATTCATTGTTGAAAGAACTTTATTTAAATCATCTTTATTACCTTCAAACAGGGTAAAAGTATCGTCTACGTAGCGGAACCATGCCGGGAAGTTTAGAGTTTCAAACAATTTTGATTCATAGTAATGCATGTAGATATCAGCCAGGATGGGACTGAGGGGGCTTCCCATGGCTAATCCCTCAGTTTGCTTGTAATATTTATTTTGGAAAACAAAATGTGTTTATTTCAAACAGAGTTGAGTGAGAGAAATTAGCTCATCAATTTCGATGCAAGAGAAATGAAATTCGCGAAGTTTGGTTTCTAGACATCTTAATGCACCCTCCACTGGGACATTGGTGAATAATGATTTTACATCAAAAGAAACCATGAGTAAATTACTAGGAGAAATGTTTTTTAACCTTTTTTACAAACTCTATTGAATTTTTTATGGTGTAAATGTTATTGTCTAATAGAGTGGAAAATCTAGAAACTAAATATTTAGCTAAAGGATACGAGGCAGTACCTAAATTTGATACAATAGGGCGGAAAGGAATACCACTTTTATGAATTTTGGGAAGAGCATATAATCTGGCACAATTCGCAAAAGATGGGATAAGCGAATGTTTTAAGTTGCCTGAAATGATTTGCGAAGATTTGATCGCAGTTTTTATTTTGGACAAGTCCGAAGGTGAAGGATCTTTAGGGATCGGATTATATGGTCCTTCGTTTAAGAGTTTAGTGACACCATCGATGTAAGTGTTCTTATCCATGACGACTATCTGGCCACCTTTGTCGGCCTTTGAAATGATAATATCCGGGTTAGAATGAATTTCGCGCATTGTAGCTCTTTCTCTCGCAGTTAGATTTGGTTTCAAAGGTTTATTATTGAATTTCACATTATGAGCGATAAGATGCCTAATCATTTCTTTCTGTGAATCTGAAACTTTACTGAACTTGAAAGCTTTTTCGATAGGAGCCAAAATCTTTGGAATCGAGGGTTTACAGGTTTGTGAGAAGTTAAAATTATATTTTAGAATTCTCTCTTGTTCTTCTGAAAGACTAACATTAGAAATATTAACTATTGGCTTGATGTTTACAATGGGAAGATTTTTTGAACTACTTGAACTGGAAGACTGTAAAAGAAGTTTTTCGAATTTAACTGCAAGGGTGTTTTTATGACGGTTAACTGCATTTTCCGTTCTAGACCAAGACTTTTGTTCAAGGGCAGTGAATTTTGGATATGATTTAGCGAGTTCCAGATGAAGCTTATAGAGTTCATGTTCAATTATGGACAAGTGTTGACGTGTATCCCTTATCACGGACCGAAGTAAGGCAAGCTTGCAATTTAACAGAATTCTTGAAACGCGACTCGAAGGTTTTTGATTAGATTTGATTTGAATAAAATTGGGGATCAATTTTTTACATTTACATTTAAGTAAAAAGTCAAGATGATTCAGGAATTTTTGCCGTTTCAGGCGTAATTTAGTGAAACGATTAACGGATGAAGACATGATAAACAATGCAGAAAATCAAACTAAATTAACTGAGCAATAATAAAGTACACACAAAACAGCAGAAAAATCCCTCACTGAAATGAATAGAAAACAAAACGTTTGTAAGCAAACATTTTGTTTTCCAAAATAAATATTACAAGCAAACTGAGGGATTAGCCATGGGAAGCCCCCTCAGTCCCATCCTGGCTGATATCTACATGCATTACTATGAATCAAAATTGTTTGAAACTTTAAACTTCCCGGCATGGTTCCGCTACGTAGACGATACTTTTACCCTGTTTGAAGGTAATAAAGATGATTTAAATAAAGTTCTTTCAACAATGAATTCTATTGATCCTGCTATGCAGTTCACTTTTGAACTTGAGACTTGCAATTCTCTTCCGTTTCTCGACATTCTGGTCACACGTAACACATCCAACTTCAGTACTACAGTTTACCGTAAACCTTCCTCGGTTTGCCTTCCACCACACTTTAAATCATGTCATCCGACTAAACAAAAGTTAGCTTCATTTTATTCCTATGTTTTCCGTGCTCTTCAAGTTTGCTCCTCCAAACTAGCCCTTGATGAAGAACTAAATTATTTAAAAGCAATAGCTATTGACAGGGGCTTTTCACCCAACATTATTAATCAAGCAGTTAAAAAATTTTCATCTCAACACACTAAAAGCCACACTCTTATTTTAGGAGATTATAAAAATTCTGTTGTCATTCCCTTCTTTCCATCAATTAGCTATAAAGTTGCACATATTTTGCAGAAATTTAACTTTCGGGTTGTTTATTCTCCCATCAATAAAATTCCAACTTCTATACTCAAGGACCCCATTCCGGATATGAATTCCTGGGGTATTTATAGGATTCCTTGCCAGTGTGGTTTAATTTACATTGGCCAAACTAAGAGAGCCTTAAAATTTCGCGTCAAAGAACATGAGGCATATGTTAGAAAAAAGGAAACACAGAAGTCTTCTGTTGCCCAACATTGTTGGTCCGAAAATCACACTTTCAATTTTTCTGCTGCCAAAATTATTCAAAAAACATCTTCCATTGGAGAACTGGATTTTCTAGAGGCATTTCACATTCAAAAAAATCTTTCTGTTCTAGTTAACGATCCTAATTCCAATCCAAATTTGCCTTCAGCTTTTAGAGAAATTATGTTTTAGTTCTGGTTTTGCCAACAGATGGCGCCACTTGCTTATTCTTGTCCAGGCTTTCTTATCTTATCTAATCATTATTTCCTATCTTGTTCATTTGCGGTTTTGCAGCTGAAGATGATGGTTCGGTAAAACCATCGAAACTAGTCCTGTGAAAATTTTGTAGGTATAACGCTGATTTTTGTTGTTTGACTTCTGAATTAGTATTTATTCGGTGTGTTATTGTGTCTTAACTATAGTTTGTCTTTTTAAATTTTTCACATTACATTACTCAGAAAAATTCAATTTTACATGTAATTGCACTAAAATCATCTATCTAAATACAAAACAAATTAAAATACAAAAAAATACAAAATTCTTAGCAGTATTCTATGATTTCGTCTCTCCTAGTATCTTAATATGTTTTGCCAAAATCAAATAATCTAGTTCATATTATTAATGCAGTTAAGTCAGATACTATGCTTTGATGGTCAATTATAGCAATTGTAGAGTCTTATGTTGTTTGAATACATTAAATTTGTCTTTCCTTTGAAAAAATTTATACCAAATTAAAAGTTTTACTTTCTAGTACTTTCAAGAAAATCAGTTATTGAGGAAAAAGGCATTGTCTGTTCAAGAGTCTTCAGACATAGTCATAATAGATACTGATGGATTAACGTCTGATGAAACTAATTCAGAACTTGAAGTCTGTCAGAAAGTTGCTTCTGGTAATATATTAGTTTCTATAATATGAATTTTAATTATTTTTGTTTTGTTTCTTTAAAAACAGCTCTTTCTAAATGACACAGCTGTTGCCGTGATATTTCTCCCTATTTCTTAGCTTTACAGCATTAAAAACAATAGCTATTGTCTTTTTTAATGTTTCAGAAATCAGTTTGATGATCTATTTATTGTTAAATTGCATAATAAACTATGATACAGATTCAGGTGTTAAGCTTATGCAGGAACAATATCTTATGAATGAACTTTTTATAGTTTTAAAAAATATGCTATGCTAATTAATGGTTATTAAGTTTTTTTTTTTTTTTTTTTGCATGTTAGAAGTAACTTTTTAATGTTCAGATTTTGCTGTAATCATTTACGTAATTTTTCGCATCTATTCTATACTGATTTATTTTAGTTATAAATTTTCAGCTGTAGTTATTTTCATAAATGCTTTTGCAGATCTCAGAAGTGAAGTGGCCAGTTTGCAGACACAGCTGCAGAAAGAATATGAAAAGCAGAATTCTTTAAAAGAAGACTTTGAGATAGCAAAAAAATTGGTAAGTCTAAATCATACATTAGTGTTGTAATTTGGAAACAATTTTCTTAGGCGATTTAATGTTTGTAATAGTAGCTATAAAGAGAAGGAACCTATGTGTTTGCTGTGCAGTAGATTCTTAGCTGAGTACTGTTAAATATGTTATTTACTAAAGCAATTATTCTGCTGAAAAATATTGAGTAAGATAGTTTTCTTGTATGATTCTGTTAAACTAATTTATTAATTGATTTGTTTTTAAAAAGATTTTGTTTTCACTCTTGTAAGATTGTTTTAAATAGTTTTGCATATTTAATTGCATAACTATTTAAATTCTGTTGCCCAGCATTGTTGGTCCAAAAAATCATGCTTTCCATTTTTCTGCAGCAAAAAATATTCAAAAAGTATCTTCCATTGGTGAATTAGATTTTCTTGAGGCATTTCGCATTAAAAAAGTCTTTCTGCTCTAGTTAACGACCCTAATTTCAATCCATTTAGCCTTTAAGGAAATTATATTTTAGTTTTCTTGTTCTATCAATAGATGGTGTCAGTAGCTTAACTCCTGTCTAGCGATTCTTATCTTTTCACTATATCTTATCTCGTTCGTTTGCACTTTGGGAGCTGAGGTTGGTGGTTTATTAAAGCCATCAAAATTAGTCCTGTGAAAATTTGTAAATATGACGCTGATTTTTGTTGTTTGACTTCTAAATTAATATGTAAATCAGAATCATGAAATTATTTTTAGGTAGTCTCTGTACCATTCATTGTTTAAAATTTGTCAAAGTCCATTGTCCAAATACAAAATTTCGATTATCTACAAATGCCTGTAATCATCTCTCATTTTTAGATGTACAGTAAACCCTCGCCAAATGGGGGGTGATGTCATTAACACATTGTGCATGGGACAGAATTGTGCTCCGCAAAGTTACCTTTCTATGGAAAAAATGGCTTAGGTATCTTTGGAATTAGGAAAGTATGTATAATTCATTCAAACCTAAATATTATTGTAATTAAAAGAAACAAATGTTAATTGAAAAGATTTCTAGTGCTGCTTAATAAGTAGGTGCATGATAGAGTTTTTTAAACAATTGATAATTTTTGCTTGGGACGATGCCTTCTTGAACTTGCTAAATATTTCATGGTAAGGAGTGCAGAGTTTTTAAATAACTCTCATAAAGAGTCCTCTTCTTTATTCATTTGAGTCAATCTCCATTACAAAATCAGACAGTTCCTGTGTCTTTTTTAACAATTAATTTAACTTGTGTATTAAAGGCTCTTGACCTTTATAAATATGTCTGATTTCACCATTGACTGGTGCTATAAGAAAGATCACCCAGTTTGTCATTTCACAATTGTGATTATCAACTAGTTCTGTAATTTCTCCTTCTATATCTGAAAATCCTTCACCACCTATTGCTTTTGCAGTTTGTATGATTGCCTTGGTTTCATTTTCAAATGATGGAATTCCTTCAAAATTATTGATAACTTTCGACCAGTGCCAAGCAAGCATGATGAATTCATGTGTTTCCATGAGAGTTTAATCATTTCTATACAATTTCCTATGTTAATTGCTTTACAGATGCCATTAGTGTGTCTTGCTTTCCTTTATCTAGGGCTTTATTTACACAGATGTAAACATGCCTGAGATACTAGGCTTTGAATGTTGAATTTTTGATCCGGTTTAGATTAAGGAAGATTTTTTCTGTAGAAGGAATAAAATATCTACACTTGGTTGTGTGATTAAGTGCATACTAAGAAGTCAAAGGAAAAAGTATTCTCCTTTTTGGAACAAAGATCTGCAGATCCTTAAAGAAAACAGAGATGTGGCTTGAGATAGGGCTGACTTTAGGCCTGATGAAGGACTGTATAGAACTTTGTAGGTGACAAGCTTGCCTGTGGGGAGCTATTAGAGAGGCCAAGCATTATGTCTTATGTGGTTTTGTAGAGGGTCTTAACTTTCGTAAAAAAGCCCCGAGAGCACATCATTTCTTGTCTAGGCTCAGTAATCAAAAAGAGAAATGAGCTGATTAGCTTTGCAGATAAGTTTCTAACAGCTGAGAAAGAAATAGCTGGTGCTTTTAGTGCTCACTATGCTAGAGTAATCATTCTTTTGCTAAAATTTGAAAGGATCTTAATTACCTACAGACTTGCCTTAATTAAGAAATTGATGACATTTTTAATTCACCTTTTTCTGAATGGGAACTCAAATATGGCATTAAGCAGATGCCACAGAGAAAGAGTGCAGAACCAGATAGTATCATGCTAGAGTTTCTTATTAATCTTGGTAAAATGTGTATGGAAGTCTTACTCAGACTTATTAACCTCACCTGGACTACAGGTATTCCCAGTGTGTGGCATAATGGAGAAATAATACCTATTCTCAAAACTGGTAAAGACTTGTGTGTTTTGACTAGCTTTTATCCAATATCACTAGTGTAATTTGTAAACCGACTGAATGCCTCATTGTAAATAGACTCAATCACTATCTTGAGAAATTCTGTTGCATTTTTGATAGACAGGCTGGTTTTAGGATATATAGAAATACTATTGAACAGATAGCAAGACTCGCACATGATAAAAGATGGCTTCCATCTTAAAAAGAATATTATAGAAGTGTTGGTCAGACTGCTTTTGATAAAGTATGGAGAAAAGAACAGACTGCTTTTGATAAAGTGTGGAGAAAAGAACTGCTCAGGAAATTAATCGATATCGGTATTTGTAGAAATATGCATGTCTGGATTAAATTATTCTGGACCCAGTGCTTTATCAGAACTAAATTTGGATCAGCTGTCTCTACCTCTAGACAAGGGCTTCCTCAGGTTTCAGTCCTGAGTCCTATTCTCTTCAACATGATGATCAATGATATTGTTCACTCTTATGAATTCATATCCTGAGATGCCGACCCTTCTCGTCACTGACTACCTTATTTTGTGGTCTGCTGACTGGGGCATCTATATTATCCAGGATTCACTTTACATTGCCCTTGACACCCTTTTGACTTGGTCAGAAAACAATGAAATAATTGTGAATAGGAGTAAGATAACCTTTCAAGTTTTTACCCTCATTACCAAACCTAAAGAGATAGAGTTATTTTATGGAGACCAGCAGCTCCACAGGACACAAGAGGTTACTTACCTGAGAATTGTTTTGGATTTCAGGCTAAGTTGGAATAAACAGGCCAACAGGATACTGGGTATAGGCAGCATGAGAAATAGACTGCTTAAAGGCATACCAGTGTAAAGTACGGTACTACCCAAAATCTACTCTATACCACTTATAAATCTTATATTAGACCTACTGTTGAGTATGGTGGTGAACTTCTCATACCTATGCCTTAGTCAATACAGAACATTGTTGAAAGTACTCAAAATAATTCCTCGAGAATCGTCACCAGTGGGTTATTTTCTACTCCTATTGAGGCTATGCAATTGCAAACAAATATTGAGCCTCTGACTCATCGAAGGAAAATAAGTACTCTCAAGTTGGTTGAGAGATTGCTGAGGTGTTGTGATTTCTAGAAGATGTACAATCCTGCAGAGTATAGGTTAAAATCGTAACCTACTTTTTTACATGTGACAAATGAAACGTCTGATTCTTTTGGCTATTCCTTCTTTTAACCAAGAGTCATTACTATAGACTGGTATGTATCTAAGACACATGAACTTAGCAAATTATAAGTTAGCCTTGGTTCTGCTGGCCAGTAAAAAAGTCCTAAATTGAGCCAGAATTGAGGATGGTTGCTTTGGCCATTATTGGAGAAGGATTTCCAACAATGCTCTGGTTGCATGTGTACACTGATGGTTCTGCTATAGGTGCTAATAGTAATGCTAGTGCCAGTGTTTACTCTTGGCACTTTAGTTTTAGTGGGGCTGTTGGTTTGAATTTGACCAACTTTGATGCTTGATGCTGCCCAACTGGCTTTGGCTGAAATCAGTAAAAGAGGATAATCAGAACATTGCAATATGTATTGATTCACAGGCCACTATTAAAGAAATTTCTTCAGTCATACTTCCAAACAATGGGTTTGTTCCAAATTGTCAGCTTGTGATAAATTCTCTAATAAGTAATTATCGTAGTGGTACTCTACAGTGGATCCCAAGTCATTGGTGGAATCGCGGGTAATGAGTTTGCTGACACTCTGACCAAAGCTGGATCTTTTCTTCCTCAATCCAGTTCTCCTGTTTGCTTCACAGTGCTAGGAGAATCATTGGAGCCAAATGTGGAGCTCATGTTCAGGAAAAGAATGGAGACTCTGCGAAGGAGAAAATTTGGGGTTCCCTAATAGCAAATTGCGTGTCTTGCAACCTTACCTAGACCTACTGGTGTTGCTAACTTTATATTAAAAATTGAACATGACTACCTCATGATAAACCTATATGGATTTGGTTTAGCAGACTGTCTTGCCCATTATGTGATATTGACAACATGTGCAGTGACCATTTGGACACTTATTCTGGACTTAATGACATGACAACTGCTAATGTTGTCAAAAATTATTGTACTTTTCTTAATGTTTCTGCTGCCCGTCTCAGACTAATACTAGTCATGCCTAAGTCTGGCATAGGATTAAAAAAAATAGATGCAGTGTCATGAGAGCCTCAGTACCATGTCCTGGAGCATTATCGAGAATTAGGACTTTAAAGCTGAGGTTTTGCTCTCTTAACCACTTGCGCTAAGACTAAACTTCACGTTTGCAGTGCCGTGCGCTCCAATTTAACAAGCGGTAAAGTGTCTCATTTACGCCGCTCCAAGTCTGCGAATGCAATCCAGAGCTATAACTCGAGAAATAAACAATCTCGTTGTTAGGCAACGTGTGAACTATGTTATATTCATTTTTGCTATAGATTCCTATCGATGTTCTGTTCACGTTGCTCGCAGTTTGAGACAAAAGCATCTTGACATGCATGGCCCTCATTATCTTCTTAGCTCAAGTGGTTAAGTAAAGTTTGACTTCTTTAATGAACGAATTTTCAAACCTGTCATTAAAGAGGACTGTCGCAGTATGGTTGATGCTCTGTAGCATACCAGTATAAAGTATAATTCAAATTCTCATGCTGGGCAAGTAAAATGGAGACAATTAAGATAATGCATTTGACAAAGGTTTACGGTAAAGAAAATTTTGATTTTTAGAAATTTCAACTTCGTTGATTGAACACAATATTTTTTCCTCGTTGATTGAACACAATATTTTTTTCTAATGCAAATGTACTAATAAGCTTTCTAACAAAGAGCTATTTTAGTTTAATGGAAAAACTGAGTTTATTTTATTGTTCAAGTTAATTTTTTATATCAAACACAGATCAATAAATCTGCAAATTTTTTGTTTTAAATGAATCATTGTGTTTGGATATATTTTATTGTCTTTTGAAATGAATTTTTAGTTTATAATTAGCATATGTAAAGAATATAGTTTATCCGAAGCTTTTGAGATGCTGAATTCACTGAACATCCTGCCCTCCTTTTTAAACATCAGCAGAAAAAAAAAAAAAAAAAAGGGGGGGTATTGTATTTACTTGTATATATTCCTCCTCACATATATTTCTCTTTAGCATTTTAGCAGAAGGCTATGAAGATTTTTTTAATCTTCACATAATTTGCCTTTTCCTCATTGCATTTAGAAAATGATTTCTCATAAATTTTAAAATGGAATCATCTACATATTGATTGTTCTAGTCTTAGTAATTAATTTACTTGTGGATTTTGAATGTATGGGCTCTGATTAAGGAAGTAATAATAATGAACTTCAAGCTAACGAGAATGTCTAATGCTCTTGATTGTTTTGAAGATCATTGCACGGGTGGTGGGATGACAGACTGAGTTGTGACAAAGCTAATAACAACAGAGATGACACAGACTGAGCTGTAGCTGATGACACACACAGCAAATCTGTCAGCATTAATTAATTTGAGGCCTAAGGAGTAGCAGTGGGCGAGAATGGGTGAAATTCAAGATACAGGGAAGTAGAAACAAAGATATCTTATTAAATATAGTAATGATTATATTACTAAGCATTCTTATTGGAATTTGGTTTTCTTTTAAATTAATAATATTGTGATAATTACAGGTAGGTTATCCATAAATATTTTTTATGCTCTTATAGCATTATGCCTTTAGAAATTAAACTATGTAATTTCTCCCCTTTGATTTTTGTATGATGAAATTAGTGAAAAAGATGGGGAGACAGAAATGTGAGCAAATATGGTATATTAAAAAAGCCTTTATAGAAATTTTCCATACACTGAAAATAGAAGATTATTGTAAAGGAATAAGAGAAGTTTTCTTTTAATAAAGCTAAATTTTCAATTCTTACACTGCTAATAATGGTATTAATTCAGTTGCACATGTGCAAAATGTAATGGTAGAATCAGCAGATTCAATTTAGGGAAAACTACACTGGTAAGATTTTTATAAATAGTGTATTTTTCTCTCATATAGAAGTGTAACATTTACTCTGTAATAATTTTGCTGGTTGGTGTATGATTTTTTATTTTACTTGATTTTTCCTGTTTCCTGGCGAAAATAGCCTTTTGAAGTTCACTGGCTTGGATTATTTAATTTTGGCAAAGAGCACAAAGATCACGCCCCTAAGTACTTGTTTTGGTCATGAGCAATCTATGCGATGGAAGCTTTGTTTTGTATTTCTTGACCATTAATAATTTTTTTTTCAGTTTGGGATAATTTAAATGCTTTTCACAAGCACTACAGTTGTAGATGTCGATGCCTTGTCTGGCATTCAAATCGAGATATAATGCTGTCAGATGTTAATAACCATCATACCTATTGGAGTGACACGAGTAAATGTAAAGTAATGACAGAGTTTTCAAAACTTCTATTCCCCCCCCTCAAAAATTGTAGAATCTTTCATTAAATCTTTTTTGTTCATCATTATCATTCAGAATTTCTTATCTATATTTCCACAGTTACTTTTTAAATCAATGTTTACAATTTCATTAAAACTAGTTGATCTTGATGAAATTACATTCCAGTGATCTTCTGTGACTCAGTGCTATGGTAGGTTATTCTTCAAATTCATTTTTTAAAGGAAGTTTTTTTAAAAAAAATAATTCTGTAAGAAGTAATTTGCAGATGAGTTTCTAGGAAATTTTTCCTCCAACGGAGCATATGAATGATATCAGTTCTTGTAAATTAGTACTACTTTGCTTCATCTGTAATGTAGTGAGGAATATCCAAGTTAAATCTTTCCTTTGAGTGGCTGACCTAATAAGATTATTGAATACTGGTAGTCCAGTGTGAATTCAAATCCGTGTGGATAGGCATTCTGCATGAGCATTTTTGCAAATTTTTTTGCACAAGTAACATGAATCTCCTTGAGAATCGAGTCTCTTTGAGAGGCTTCTGTGCAAAGCCCCCCTTCTTGTAGGCAAATAGCCTTAGTGTGCTTTGTCATATTGTGGCAAATCAAAACAAAATTGAGCTTTTCTGGTACTGAACTTTCACATGAATAATCTTTTAGCAGCTGAAGCTTAGTTGTGCAGTTACAAAAAACAAAACAAACGAAAAAGGACAGCACTTGGACAGCTAAGACACGTTGGCAAAAATGAAGTTGGATTATATCACCATTTCTTTGTCCTGAACCCATGAAAACAGATGTATAACTGATGCATGAATGTGTGCAAAGGGATGCATGAATAAGAGGTATGTGACTGAGAAATTACTGTATTTTGAGAAATTACTGTTTTGTTGTATTTGGCAAAACATTTTCATCATTTTGATATATTTTTAAATTTGAAGATGTCTTTAATATTTGTAAATTATTCATACCTAATTTCTTTATCAAACATTTTCTTTTAACTTTACAGTATGAACAAGAGATGATAGACCATAATCAAACAAAAAAGGAACTTGAATCATTGCGTTCACTTTGCAAGGGTAAGAATAATTCAATAATTGTAGAAGACTGACAATATTAGGATTTGTATTTTGCTAAACCATTTTAATGCCATACATAAGTGAATGAATATTCACTATAGGCAGAAATATTAAGATAATATTCATTTTGTATAGTTTTCCCATGTAAAAATTGGAAAGACAGAAATTGGAAAATTTTAAGAGGAACTAAAATTTTTCCATGGTTGTTTCCTAGAGAACATTGAAATTTATAGAAAAGGAAGTTTTTCTATTTTTACAAAATGTGTATTGTAATTTCTTTTTAAATCAGTAGATAAAAAATTTTGCTCTCATTTTTTTATTTATAATATATTTTTATACTTTGTTTAATAAGTGTACCATTGTATTGAAATACCTGTTTTTAAAAGTATTTTACATGTTTTCAGTAGTATTTATTATAGGATTAATGAAATTTTTTAATATGCTAATTTTAAATTTGCATATTAAAAAATTTCATTAGCATCAGTTAAGTGAGATCTTTCTAGCATCAGTTAAGTGTTTTAAAGCATAGCCATGTAAAGGAAAATCTCTTTTAATCAACTAAATGGGTATTCTATTAATTTTTTTTTTTAACTCTTTGGGTGGATTACATGGTTTATAGTTTTATTTTTCCCAGTTTAGTGAAAAACTAATCATTTAAGGTTTTTTTTTTTTTTTTTTTTTTTTTGTTATTACTTATCCACCTGGCACAAATTTTAAAGCTATATGCTATTTTAAAGGTATGTTATGAAGTGATAGAAAGCTATTAAGTATTGCTAAATTTTAACAAAAGCATCTTTCTAAGTGCAAAACTGAGTAAGAAATTGCCACTGTATAGCATTTTTCCGTTGTCATATATTTATTTGAATGTTTTATATCCTTTCTTTGCCTGACACTCATCACTCTTTTATTAAAAAAAATAGAGATGTTTACTTTTTTAAATTTTATACATAGTCTTGTGGATTGCTTCTTTAATAAGCTGTCAGCTAATCAGCTAACATACAGCCATTTGGTCTTGCAGTTGTTTTCCAATAATAAAATTTTCTAGGTATTTTTATTTTTCTGCCTATTTTCTGTGCACTTTACAAGGTTTCCTCCCTTTCAAATTATAAATTTGTTATTCCACATTGATTCATTAGTGATAAATGTGGAAAGCAACAGAGGTGTACTGTATCAGAGATATATACTGACAAATTACATAGGTTGGAAAATGCTGCTCAATGCATATTAAGTTATGCAGTCTTTAAAACACCAAGGCCCACCAACAGCTGAGCGGTAAATTCGCTGAACGCTGGTAGTTCGGTCCGAGGTTCGAATCCCGCAAACAGGCTGGCTGCATGGGCGTTTTCGTGGTTTACCCCATGTGTAATGTGTATAACAGCCAGTTTCCCTTAGAAAGTCCTCCACGAAGGCATCCCTTCCCTAGGCAGATAGCACTCAAGGCTTTGCCATAATTAAACAAACCAAACTGTTTAAAGCACCCTGTACTTTTAGTATAAAATGTTAAGGAAATAAAACTGAGTTTTCTTGAACTTGAACTCATACTTAATGTTGAACACAACATTAAGTATGAGATTTTGATAAAACTTTCAAATAAGTGTCATTTTTGCATGTTAAACTTCAGCATAGCTGCATTTAGATACTATAATTATTTATTTACTGTAACTACTCCTGCCTTGCACAGAACATGAACTTTTATGCCATGTGGACAGCTCTGGCCATTTAAGTAGTAAGGCCATTTGAAATTCTTAATTGTGTTTGGCTGGATGCTCATGCTTATTCTCTGTCAGTAAATTTGCATTTATAATTCTGTATGATATTGTGCATGATTTCCCAAATTTTTCACAACAGCTTTGGTCTGTTAGTGAACCTGCACTTAGGTAGGAACTTAATTTTCAAAAGTAACTACGGTACTTACATAGTATCCTGTTGATGATGAAACTGTCACCAAGAACCGCAATTTAGTACCAGTTATGGATGAGCAGTCTAATTACAAAAACAATGTGTTGTTTTCAAAGTTATGGGATCTTACCGTAAAAAGGTGTTTATTAATGTACATGATATGGTCAACTAAATGTTGCCGAAAAAATAACAGATTGAAAAGAATTACTTGCTGGAAGTTTGCATTCGTAGCCTTCTAAATAAAATTTTTTATGCCAATGACACTAATTAAGTCCTAAAATTAAGTGCTCGGTTTGTTTTTCACATAAGTATTCTTCCTTTGAGTGGTAAATCTTTCTGGCGAACTGCTTTTTAAAATTTTAATTAAAGAAAAGGAGGAGGTAGGCAATCTGTTCAGGCCTAGAGGAGTACACAGGTAAAATTTTGTAAAAATAGCTTTTACTTTTTCAATTTGTTGGATGTACCCGAGGTGGGCTGACTGAATGAATGAAGCTTCGAGAAGCAAGCATTGCTGGAAAGTGCATAGTAGAGTAAAAGTTTTTGCCCAGAATTAAAAAACACTAGATTCTAATTACCCTAGCAGACTTAGAATTACCCAGTTGCACTTCAGGAATGCCTGCTACCCCACCCCCAAAAAAGTATCACTGCATTTCGTATTGCATTCACTATCTGAAGGCAATTCATTTAGCATTTTAACACTTTAGAAAAGGTCAGCCCTCTCTGATCCATTTGAAAATTAATTAAAAATCAGAAAAAAATAAACTAATATATCTACAATTAAGAAAATATAAACTACGAGGGCAATCCCAAAAAAAGGTCTCCTAGATTTTTAGATATACGAAGAACTGTTTATTTTCTATAATTGCTACATCACTTTAAAGATTGCAGAATGCTTTATTTTTCAACATAATCGCCATTTCGGTCGATGCATTTTTGTAGACGTTGTGGCAGTTTTACAATGCCCATGTCATACCAGCTTTGACGCTATGCCCTTCAGGAAGCATTGAGGAGCTTCAGAAGCATCCAGATGATCCGATCTTTACGCATTTTACGAACTCAACAATCGCGAAACTCAACGAATACGAACTCAACAATCGCGATTGTCTCGTCAGCAATTGATGGCCTCCCGCTCCTTTCTTCATCATGAATTTCAGTACGACCGGCTGTAAACTCTCTACACCACTTGCAAACGTTTTTGACATCCATGCACGACTGTCCATACACTTCTGTCAATAGGCAGTGAATTTCAACCGGTTTAACGCCTTTTGCGTTCAAAAATTGAATAACTAAAGCTAACTGCGCACTTTCGCACTTCGCACTTGGCGGTAACGTTTATCGGGAGCTCCATTTCGAATGGCTGCCAAGCCAAGACTGAGCATCCGAGCGAAGCGCCTGCGTGCTTATGTGGTAGCGGAGAAAGCACCACTCACAACAGTGTTGCCAACAACCATATTAAAACTTTCTCTACGTCCCCAAAAAATAGGAGACCTTTTTTTGGGGGATTGCCCTCGTATAAAATAAAATTAAGTAAGCATCTACAGCTCAAAAATATCAAAAACATAGAGCTAACAAAACTTCTTTCAATAAAAGTAAGATTAAAACGGTAAAGTTTTACCCGTGTACTCCTCTAGACCTGATTAGACTGCCTACCATTTTTTTTTTTTTTTTTGGTTGAAATTCCAACTTTAAAAGGTAGCGTGCCGGAAAGGGTTAAGATACATTTAAAATATATTACTGTTAAAATGGTAGCTCAGTTCACATACATAAATTATTAAATACTCCAGTGGATTCTATACATTCTCTTTATTTCAATTCACTTCTTAAATTAATGCACATTTTATCGATAACTGTCAGGAATCATGCTTGAACATCTTTGATTTTATTTAGCACATACTCATGTTTGTTGTTCACAATACTCTCACTCTTTTCACAAAAAGTCTTGAGTCGTGCGTGCACAACTTTTTAATATGCAGTTATGGCCGAACATGCCTCAGCACTTGCAGTATTTGCAAAAAATTCAAGTTACAGTCACAATTTTTGTAAGTTCTAGAGTTACATAAAGATTAAATATTCACAAATTCTAAATTTTTGAACAAAAGCAAAAAACTGATTATACATTAAACTTAACAATTATAATGAATACCATTCACAATTATAAGCACATGCATAATAAAATAACTACATTAATCATTAAAAAATAAAATACATAATTTGGTTACAGGCCTCTTGAATTTTCCTGTAGAAGATTTTACTTCCACAATTTGTACTTTTTGGTCTTTCTCAGAATAAATATCAATTACTCTTCCCAATCACCATTCACATGGAGGCAACTTATCCTCTTTTCAAGCAACCATGTCTCTTATTTTAACGTTTTCTTTCTCAAATTTCTATTGCAATCTTTGTTGTAAATGGCTTAGGTAATGCAAATTTCATTTTCACCAAATGTTCTGAAATAATTTATTTCCATTGGTTAAGCCTATTCTTATTAATGGTCTTTAAATCTCGCTAAGTTTTAAGAAGTAATTGACCTTCCAGTGAGAAAGTGGGGCAGGGGTTAATGCATTTAGATCCTCCATTTCAGCAGTCAATGGAACCAGAGGTCTAGAATTTAACATTCCCTCTGTTTGTACAGTTAATGTTAAAAACACTTCATATGTTAATTTTTGACTCCCTGGGATTCTTTTCCAATAATATTTAAAGGATTTAACACCAGCCTCCTAGATTCCTCTGAAATTTAGGAACTCGAGACGGAGAGTAATGCTAGTCAATAATCTATGAACTTTCATATTTTGAAAAAGGGATATCTGGCTGATTTACCAGCTAGAAAAGATGTTCAGTCTGGCTGATTTACCAGCTTGAACATCTTTTTTAGCTCTGAATTTTCTCCTATAAAGGTTTTCGCATTGCCTGTGTACAGCTTGCTGCATGTCCTTCTTCTAGGCACAAACTCTTAAGTGCAGCTTTGAAGGCAGCTGAAGTCAAATCCGTGACAAATTCCAAATGTGTGGCCCTGGTTACAAAACAAAGAAAAATGTGTACATAAATTTTGCAGTATGTCCCCTTTCTTTGACTTTTATATTTAATATAGAAAGGACCACAGA